TGTTTACAAAATCTGCATGAATGAATTATGTAAAAAAAAACTATCAATGATTTTTACATAATTCATTCATGCAGATTTTGTAAACAATGCGGAATTTCATGCAGAAATTTTAATCGAAGAATCTTTGAGCAAAAACAAAATATATTCCAGAAAATCAAACATGCAGCTCACTTTATTAATTGATGTGTTTTCTATCCGCGAATAATAGTGTAGATTTCGCGAAGTGGGTGGCTGTAATGACAAACGTAAAATTATTTGTTTAGTGTATGTCTAGCTGCATGGTTCAATATAGTTTTCTGACATAAAGCAAAAAAAAAGTTACTCGTTGGAGTGGCTCTTGGTCTACAAAGAAGAAAAGTTGAAATATACACAATGTGTTCGTAGCCACAACAATCGAGCGTAAAAACATCTTGTGCACTGCATATTCTACTAGGCCTGTTGGATTTTGTTCATCACTGGCAAAATGTTTGTATAATGTCATAATAATGAATTTTGGCAATGGACAAAAAATTTCCCAAAGAGAAACGAAATCCGACAAGCCTACATTCTACTCAAGCCGCTCATTCACATGTACGATTGTAATGTTGATATAGTAAGTTCATTTGAAATCGATAAGTACTTTTTATGCCAAAAATACGTTAGTTACATTAATTCCCAATAATTCCGATCGGAATTATATGTTACCCGCATTGGAGTATTTACAAAAATAAAGCCATGGAATACTAGAGAATATATGTTCAGAAGAAAGTATTTAAAATAAATTCCCAACGAAATAACCTTAAATGAAATAAAATAAAATTTACATATAAAATAAACAGTTTTATTTAATATCAGTTACTCAAATTACCCAAATTAACACAAAAACTAGCAAATGTAATTAGTTTGATCTTTTTATTTACAGAGAGCGGTTTTTTTCTTCATAATTTACATATGTTTAAGGTTAACTATAAGTCGCCGATTTTTTTTGCTTCAACGTATGTGCTTTTCGACTCGAGAGAGATTTCCATTTTGCTTTATAAAGAATTGTGACAGTTTTTCTTTGGTCGAAAACCAAACTTGTTCAAATAATTGACTGACTATGATCTATAATCCATGAAGCTGAATTGCTTGCAATACTTTATTGTTTCTTTTTTAGTTTGATGTATTCATTCTTTCAAAAATTAATTTATTGATGTTATTCTTTCTTTATGTGGTTTTTAGTTTTAATGATAGGAGTTTTAATTTTGCCTGTTCTCGTCCATCAAATATACATTAATCAACTTTAGATGAGTTATAGTACTACCTATTGAAAGTCAAATGAATTTTCCTGTATTCAAACAGTATTATTTTCATTATTAAGAGGTGAAATTTCAAAAAGTTAGTTTTTTGTATAAAACATGTTGCATAGAGACTTGATTAGTCGGAAATGTATTTGTTTATTTATTTCAGTTTGTCGATTAACAATAAACATAAAAGACAATGAACCTCATTTGAATTAATTTTCCTTAGAAATAAACCAATTCAATTAAGAGGTAAACTTGTTTGCCATTGCTCATTCAGCAATGATTTTACTTTTCTGTATACACCACTGTGTGTGTGCAGTTAAGTATTGTAATCACTCCAGAATTTTGAAATGCCAAAAAATAGTTTTTTGTTTTTGTTGTAATTCTGAAAATATTAATTTGAAATCAATTTTTTATTCATTTGTTCGTTTATATTTATTAAAAGTAAACGTTTATAAATTGTCATCGGGACGTTGATAGTGGAAAAAATCTTTGATCATTTTTTTCAAAGACAACGATGTGTGTGAATCGTGTCCACTCATACAAGATCTTTGCTCAAATATACAATGTGTAGTACACACTTTTAAATTTGGGTTGCCAATGAGTTGCTGGTCATGTCAATGTAGGGGTCAAAAATTCAACGAATAAAATATTATTGGATTAAAAAAAAAAAATCACGCGCAATCGATTAATTAAGTATGCATGTCATGCATTTATGCAGAAAGTACTTTAAAAGTTGTTTTCAAGTTTCACAATAAACTCAGATACTGATGGACATTTTTTTAAGATGGTAAATATAACATTATATTTGGAATTTCTAAATTTTGATAATTGTTTTAAGATTTGCAACCAGTAATGTCAAATGCCAATGTTAAGATGTTAATGTTGAACAGAAAAAAATGTCAGAGTTGATATGTCTATGGAATAAGAATGGAAAATTCAATTGAAATTATTATGCATTAGAACCTTAAAGACCTCGCATAAATAACTGGATTCAAACATGATGGTTTGGTTTCTTTTGGATTACATTTTTATGTGATTTTCTTTGGTCTCCTCCATTCCCTTTCGATTTCATTCTCAATCTATCGGTTAATATTCATGAGAATTTTGTTGTTTTCGGCCTAACAGTGGCCTAAGCGGGTATAATGATATGTAAATAAAAGGCATTTGAAAATCGTAAATTAGAAAAGACAATTCCAACAAAAATGTATCCGATTATAAAAGAAAGCGACACAGAGAAGTTCATTATCACTGTTTTTTGCTGTTTTCTACGAAACGTACAAAGTTTTTTGTAGGTGTTTTTTTTGTTGGTTTCGTTAGTGATCCTTTTCGACTGTATGATCCATTTTAGTCGTAATCAGTCGACCGATTGGAAAAGTTCACTTTTTTCTTATTTCATCGTTCAACTAATATTATATTTCACTGTGTGTGAAAGAAAAATTCTGTGCTTGATATAAAAACAAAGTCAAAGTGAAAAATAAAATAGTGAATAAAAACTTGGTGCGAAATTTTTGTTCTTTCAACGTGATCAGTGTTTATTTTTCGTAGATTGAAAAATAGACAAAAAAAAAACAATGTCACCAACTCCAAAAACTTCACCAAGTATGTTTGCTCCAAAGTTGCTTTCGCGTACGCATGCAGCTACACCGGGTGATGAAATTGTTATAAGTGGAATAAGTGGTAAATTTCCGAACTCCGATAGTATCGAAGATTTTGCGCATAATTTGTACAATAAGGTAAAAATCTAACTGGAAACGAAATATGTGAATTGTGTGATTTGGTTTTTTTTTTTTGTTGTTGATTCCAGGTTGATATGGTTGATGATGAAGAGCTTCGCTGGCGCCATTTCAATGTCGAAATCCCAAAACGTATGGGAAAAATATCTGGATTGGAGAAATTCGATGCAACATTCTTTGGTGTCCACTTCAAGCAGGTAATAAATCTCACTGTGTATGTGTGATTTTGTTGAATCGGTTGTTTTGACAAAAATTACACGGCAACGCATGGGTGGATCGAATTTAATTCTGCATCCTTATGTTTCACCTCGGTTTCAGGCACATACCATGGATCCACAATGCCGCTTGCTTATTGAGCGTGCATATGAAGCTGTGTTGGACGCTGGAATTAATCCGAAAACTTTGCGAGGCTCAAGAACTGGTGTATTTGTTGGTGCTTGTTTCTCTGAGTCGGAGAAAACTTGGTTTTATGAGAAAATTTCAAGCAGTGGTTTTGGTATAACGGGGTAGGGACAGCATTTTATTAAACTTGAAAAGAAGAATAAGGAAAGTAATAATTTTCAATTTTTTTTAAAATTATAAATACAAACAGTTGTAGTCGTGCTATGTTAGCAAATCGTATTTCATACTCATTGGGATTGACTGGTCCATCATACTTGTTGGACACAGCTTGCTCGAGTTCCATGTATGCATTGGACTGTGCATTCAGCGCAATGCGGAATGGTGAATGTGATTCCGCTTTGGTGGGTGGATCGAATTTAATTCTGCATCCTTATGTTTCATTACAATTTGCAAAGTAATTTCTTGATCAAATTCAAATCAAGTGTTTAAAATTTGACTGAATTTTTTTTTTCTCGTTAAATAAAGATTGGGTGTACTTGCTCCAGATGGTTACTGTCGGCCATTCGATATTGATGCCACTGGCTATACACGTAGCGAAGCGGTTTGCATGATTTTATTGCAAAAAGCCCGAGATGCAAAACGAATTTACTCAACGGTCTTGTATTCAAAAACAAATTGCGACGGTAAGATTTGGTATTTTAATTTGCATGTTGGTGACAAAAGAAAACTAAGATTAAAATGTATCTGTGTTATTTCCAATAAAAAAACGATAATTTAAACATCAGGTTATAAACAGGTAAGGTTTATCATTTAATTTATTGTTCACAATAAAAGGAAAACGAAGTTTGAATTGTGTTTGTCGTTGTTTAAAATAACCAGGAAGGTATAACTTATCCGAGTGGTGCCATGCAACAGAAATTGTTGTCAGAGTTTTATGATGAAATTAAAATCGATCCATCATCACTGGCTTATGTTGAAGCGCACTCGACGGGTACAGTTGTTGGAGATCCTGAAGGTAAAATGGCTTTTGTGTATATGAATGGGAAACAACATTTTTGACACACGTTTACCTTTTGCCTATCTTGAAGAATGCCAGGCATTGGACAATATTTTCTGTAAGAATCGAAACAAGCCATTGCCGGTTGGTTCAGTAAAATCAAACATCGGACATTCAGAGTCCACAGCTGGTGCCTGTAGTATCGCCAAAGTGATATTGGCTTTTGAGACCGGATTGATTGGACCAAATATCAATATTACAAAAATTCGTCCAGGAATTCCAAGTCTTGGTAAGTAATATTATATATCGGTAAAACTTTATATACTTATATTATATCGGTAAGTATGCGGAGTTAGTCAGGCTGCTTACATTTTTATCGAAGCTGCTGAAGTTTTGCACAATCTCAATGAATTTCTGTCGATTGCAAATATCGAAAATGGTCATGATTGGTGCCAAGATCAACTGAAGACACACATTTCGTTTATCGCCAACATCCAAAATTCGTGATATATGTGATGAGTGAATCAAAAGTTTCATATTTTGAATATAAATGTACACTGTGTACAGGATATTTAAATAATATATCTTTTAAATAATATTTTCTACATACGACTGATACGTATGCACTAATTGAAGATAGACAAATCCCAATTTAATTAATTCATTGTTAATAATAATTAAATCGATCAAATTCACATTTATCTAGTATATTGAATTCAATGCATATTTACAGTTATGTGCGTAAATATAAAATTCTTGTTCTAACCTTGCTGTTTTCACGATTTTCCTCATCGCTAGAAGAAGGACGTCTCAGTGTTTGCACTGATGTCACGAAGCTTGAAGGAGATTTGGTTGGTGTGAATGCATTCGGTTTCGGTGGGGCAAATGCTCACTGTTTGCTGCGTCGCCATTTGAACGAAAAGAAAAACCATGGTCTACCAGAAGATTCATTGCCAAGGCTAGTGCCATGGTCTGGAAGAACAGAAGAGTCAATTAATGTTGTTATTGATCGATTGAAATCACAGCCACTTGATAGTGAATATATTGGCCTGTTGCACAACATTCAATCCGACGAAATACCCGGCTATATATTCCGTGGGTATGGTTTGTTCCGGCCATCTGCCGACGGTCGAACCACCGACGTAATTGCACACGAAATTCAACATTACAACGGTTTAAAAAGGTAACAAAACAAAAAGTTTATGGAAAAAAATGTTTTTTAGTTTTTAGATGTTCAACGAACTTAAAAAAAAAATGAATTTTCCAGACCGATCGTATGGGTGTTTAGCGGTATGGGAGGCCAGTGGACGAAAATGGGTTCGGCATTGATGGAAATTCCAATGTTTAAAAACAGCATTGAAAATTGCCATAAAATTCTTAAGCCATATGGCTTAGATTTGATATCGATCATTACCGCAAACGATGCGGCCATGTTTGATAATATTCTTCATTCGTTTGTTGGAATTGCTGCCATTCAGATTGCTTTGTGTGATATTTTGAAGGCGCTCGATATTCCAGCCGACTATTTTATTGGTCATTCTGTAGGAGAATTGGGTTGTGCTTATGCAGATGGTTGTTTTACAGCCGAACAAATGATATTAGCGGCCTATTCTCGTGGAATGGCCTCATTGGAAACGAAAAAAATTCGTGGATCTATGGCTGCGATCGGTATGTTTTTAACTGTTACAAATTTCTTCTACTTTATTCTTATTAACTATTTCTGTATACCGGCTCTTCAAAGGTATGAGTTTTAATCAAATTCGATACAAAGTACCCGATAAGATTGATGTGGCATGTCACAATGGACCTGATTCTTGTACCGTTTCTGGGCCTGATACCGAAATCGCTCAATTTGTCGCTGAACTTAAATCGCAAGGCATTTTCGCAAAAGAAGTAAAATTCATTCCATTTCGCACTTGATTCGTTCGTGTTTCACTTTGTGTAACCATTTTATGTGTGTGTGTTTTTTTAGGTTCAATGTTCGAACATTGCATACCATTCGCGATACATCGCTGACATGGGTCCAAATCTACTGGCACGTTTATCAAAAGTTATTCCTGAACCGAAACGTCGCTCTTCAAAATGGTTGAGTTCGAGTGTACCAAAAAGTCGTTGGGACAATGAAGAAAGTCAATGGAGTTCAGCCCACTATCATACCAATAATTTGCTCAGCTCGGTTTTGTTTGAAGAAGCATCGCGACATTTACCACCAAATGCCCTCACAATCGAAGTAATAAAATTGATCTTTTTTTATTTGAGAAAATTTTAATTTTTTAATAAATAATAATTTGAATTAAATCTGATCCAAAAAAAGGTTGCTCCACATGGTCTACTCCAAGCGATTTTGAAAAAATCACTTCCTGGTGCTGTTCATATTTCACTGGCCAAGCGTGGCAATAACGACAACGTTTCGTTCTTTATGCAAGCACTCGGAAAGTGAGTTAACATCTTTGATTGAAGAAAACTAAAATTTCACAACGATCTAAATCAAATTTTTTTTCTCTAGAATCTATTCAAACGGTTACACTGTTCCCGTTCAACGTTTATATCCGCCAGTTCAATTCCCTGTATCGCGGGGTACGGGAATGATTTCGCCATTAGTAAAATGGGAACATGGAGATGATTGGTTTGTAACTAAATTCGAATTACAACGATCAACTCGTAGCGGTGAACGAAAGGTTAAAGTCACTCTAAGTGACCAAGACTATGATTTTGCTGGACACACAATTGATGGTATGAGCGTTTTCCTCTCTTTTTTCTTTCATTCTAACTTTCAATTTCAACAATTATTTGATGTGTTGTAGGTCGAGTTTTGTTCCCTGCTACTGCATACTTACAGGTAATTTTTGTTTCTTACCTTATTCTTCAGAAAGTCACTGATAAAAATTGCAAAAATTAATTCTATTTGGTCTATTTTTCTTTTATCCAGTTGGTATGGGAAACTTTGGCACTGATGAAAGGTAGATAGATAGATAGATTTATTGAAAATTTGCTGTCGTTACAATTATATAACAATATTTATATCTCACAATTTTAATAAAAGGACCAATCTATTTTGATATGAACGTCGAATTTGAGGATATTCGCTTCTTACGTGCCACTGCAATGAACAAGGGCCAAGTTATTGAACTAAACATTATGGTCCATACGGGGACCGGCCAATTTGAAATTACAGAAAATTCAACGGCTGTTGTAACGGGACGCATCGTTGAAGTTGAAAAAATGGGACCACTAACAAAACTACCACCACTTCCGCCAAGCAAATTCCCAATTATGCAAGAACGTGATTTCTATAAAGAGCTACGATTGAGAGGATATCATTATTCGGGCCCATTCCGTTCAGTTATAGAAGCGCGTGGAGACGGTCTTTACGGTAAAGTTAAATGGGATCTCAATTGGATTTCATTCATGGATTGTCTGCTACAAATCAATATTCTCGCAAAAGATTCTCGTTCCCTGCTATTACCAACAAGGTACGTTAATCGATATTTTTTCTTTCTTCAAACTGAATGTAATTTACTTCGGTAGAAAAGGATATTGCTATTTCAATATTTGTTTCTTCTTCACGACATTCAATAGAATTCAAAAATTACGCATTAATGCCAAAGAGCACATGTCTCAATCTGCAAAATTGGATGCAGAAAATCCGTTCTTCGAAGTGTTTGTGTGTCCTGAATTGGGCATTTTGCGTTGTGGTGGAATTGAAATCTTTGGTAAATGTTATGTTTGCATTTAATATGAACATAAAATCTTTAGTTGAGTTGTTGATGTTTTAATTCCTAAATGTATCTTCTTTTCCCACCTTTCCGAACATCAAAAAGGAATGCACACCAACAATGTTTCACGTCGTAAGGCACCTGGTTATCCTGTTTTAGAGACATACAAATATATACCGTACATTTCGTCGCCAATTCTGCGTAAAGCCGATGCCGTACGTTGTCACACACAACTTATTTTGGAAAACATGCCAATGTTACGTATTAAAGGTGTTGAAGTGGACTACGATAATAGTGTAACACCTCTTTTACCAGAATTTGAAATCGCTCTCGGTGATTTACCATTGGTGACGTCCGATTTGATGGTGTTAACTGGTCAAGATTTGAGTTTGGGTAAAATTCACGTTGAAGATGGTAAACTGTCAACGCAAACAAACTGTCTGTTAATCGTGAGCAAAAATTGCTTCGATCGCATTGATTTTGTCGAAGGTGCTGTTAAGAGTCTTCACGAACGTGGATACATTGTGTCACGTGAATCTGCTAATTTTACTGCTGCTGAAGCTGCACAAAAATGTCCATCCGATTTCAATGTTATTTCAATGATTCAAACCGACGACAATGAACAATTGGTACTTTTACAACGTACAGTCAAACGTAAGCTTTTGAGCGATCAAGTTGTCATCAATATTTCCAATACAAACGATACCACAACTGCTGACAGCTATGTTTGGTTGGATAAATTGAAGCAAGCCATTAAACAAACTAAAGGCACGGTTATTGTTGTTGCTCAAAACAATTCGAGATCGGGTATCGTTGGCATGGTCAATTGTGTTCGTAAGGAACCCGATGGACATAAGGTTGTATGCGTTTTTATTGATGACGAACATGCGCCAGCATTTGATTTAAAATTGCCGTTCTATCAAGAACAACTTAAATTTGGTCTTGCCATCAATGTTCTTCGAAATGTAAGTGTTTTATATTGTATAAACAATGTCTGTTCACTTTAATGTGTTATGAAAATCAACATTTAATTCGTGCACAGGGTACATGGGGAAGCTTGAGACATTTGGAATTGTTACAAGATGTAAAATGTATTCCACGCAATGATCATTGCTATGGTAATTAAATGCATTCCATTTTCCTTCAAATGTTCAATGAAAAAAAAGTAAAAGAAACATTCATATTTTCGCCATAACTAATTAATAGGTAATGTATTGCAACGCGGTGATTTGTCAACACTATCATGGCTTGAGGGACCAATTGATGCTCGAAAAGAGCATGATGTTGTTAAAGTTCAATATTCATCAATAAATTTCCGTGATGTAATGTTGGCAACAGGTCGTTTATCTGCCGAAGTCGTTGGAACGAATCGTTTGGATCAAGAATGTATTTTGGGCTTTGAATTTTCCGGTATCAATAAGAAAGGTGAACGAGTTATGGGTACCATCATATCCGGAGCCATGGCCACTTTACTCATACCAAATGAATTCTTAACATGGAAAGTTCCCGATCACTGGACATTACGCGAAGCAGCTACCGTACCTGTCGTTTGTAAATAAGGATTCTGTCTCTTTAAGTTTGATTAATTTCTCTAACTTAGCTAATTCACTTTCAACTTCAGATATGACCATTTATTGTGCATTTTTCATGTATAATCCGATTAGAAAGGGGAAGAAAATTTTAATCCATGCAGGTGAATTTGTCAATTTGTTTTGAGCTTATTTATAGTAATATATTGTGACCATTGTCTTAATATACGCTTGTCTTTTTACAGGAAGTGGCGGCATCGGTTTAGCAGGTAAAAATTCTTCAATATTTTCAATTTTCATGAATTTTACATTTTATTTTCCTTTGCATTTATTTTCATAATCTCTTTCAACGTTTTGTTTTCGTTTTTCACAAAACGCACTAGCCATTCGAGTTGCGTTGGCCTATGGTAAGTTTTTTTTTCACTTTTGATTTGATGGATAATGTTAATTTAAAATTCGATTCAATCTAAATTATATAGGATTGGAAGTGTTTACGACTGTTTCAACGTCAGCAAAGAAAAAATTCATCATGGATACATTCCCACAGCTGAAAGGTGTGTAGTGTGTAATGAAAGTATATAATATCTCGTTAAAATTTACATAAATAATCGTTTCAATCGCTTCAACAGAGGAAAATATTGGAAATTCACGTGATTGTTCATTCGAGCATATGATTAAATTAAGAACAAACGGCAATGGTGTTGACTTTGTATTGAATTCATTGGCCGAAGAGCAATTACACGCTTCGATTAGATGCTTAGGACGTGGTGGAACATTTTTAGAAATTGGCAAATTTGATTTGGCCAATGATTCAAAAATTGGTACTAATTAACTTTCTTAAATTATAGTGTCGAAGTTTACAAACGTCTAAACCAATTCAACTGAAAATATTCTAGGTCTTGGTCCATTCTTGAAAGAAATTACATTCCGATCTGTGCTTGTGGACAATCTTTTTTCGGCCGAAGAAAATGATAAAGTTCAGGTGTACGAATTGGTTGAAAAAGATTTACGTCGCGGTGTTATTCAGCCACTTCATTCGACCGTATTTGAAGTGAGCGAAATTGAAAAGGCTTATCGGTATTTGAGTACCGGTAAACATGTTGGCAAGGTCATTTTGAAAATTCGTGAAAATCAATACGATGAACTGACTGTGCCAATTGCGGCCATTCCACAAGTTTATTGTGACTCAAATGCTGTTTATATCATACCGGGTGGCCTGGGCGGTAAGCTTTAATTTAAAAAAAAATTAGCATGTCAGCCGTGACAAAATGTCTCAATTTCGTTGAAATAGGTTTTGGCCTAGAACTTGCCGACTGGTTAATTATTCGTGGAGCACGAAAATTGGTTCTAAGCTCAAGCAGAGGCATCACAAAAAGCTATCAATCATATCGCATCAAGTAAATTTGTTTCTTGTTTAAATTGACGCATGAATTTCGTTTTAAATTCAATCTAATTTTCTTTTTTCTTTTTGGCGTATGCACATAGAATATGGGAAATGTATGGAACTCAAGTGGTTGTTAGCACAGATAACATTACAACACGAGCTGGTTGCGAAAAACTCTTTAAAACAGCACTTCAACTGGGACCGATTGGTGGTATTTTCAATTTGGCTGTCGTTTTGCGTGATAGCATTTTGGAGAATCAAAGTGTTGAGAAATTCGTTGAGTGTATGCTACTTACTTAAAAATTACTATTCCATTACTCTACAATTTCCTTTGATTCTTTTTCCATTCTGATGAATTTCCATTTTTTCGATTCTTTTCTTCTGATCATCCTTAGGTATGCTACCGAAAGCAACAGCCACTGAATATTTGGGTAAGCTCGAGCGTTTCGATTCTATGAAAAGTCAATTCGAATAGAAATATATTCATTGAAATTTAACGTATTTACATTTTCCCGTTTCTACTGCATTTTTCACCAGATGAATTCTCTCGTAAATTAGCGCCACAGTTGAAGCACTTTGTTGTTTTTTCTTCAGTGTCTTGTGGCAGAGGCAATGCCGGTCAAACAAATTATGGTATGGCAAACAGTGTAATGGAACGCATTGTTGAGATGCGCCATAGGTAAGTCAACTCTGTCAGAGAGTCTATGTGTTTGTTTTATTGATTAGTCAAAATACTTTACATTAATGATTTACACATATAGAGATGGATTACCGGCGAAAGCTGTTCAATGGGTAAATAAATAATCAAAATTGATGAAATATTTAAAGAAGAAAATACATTATTGATTAAAAATTGACGGGTAAAATAGGGTGCCGTTGGCGAAGTTGGTTTGGTTGCTGACATGGCAGAAGATAAAATTGATATGGAAATTGGTGGAACATTACAGCAACGTATAAGCAGTTGTTTGGCTGAATTGGATGTATTATTAACAACTGAAAATGAGCCGATTGTATCGAGTATGGTTGTGGCTGAAAAACGTGCCGGTTCTGATGGCAAAACCAATCTCATTGAAAGTGTATTAAATATCATGGGTATTCGTCTAGGGGCAATTCACTTAAAAATTGCCTTTCTATTGTTTAATAATTGTTATTGATTCTTTTTCGATTATTTCGATTATTTTAAATTAGTTCTATTCTTTTCTTTTGTGATTCTCCCCTAGGTATTCGCGATATGAAAACCGTTTCCAGGTACTAAAAATATGAATTTATTGTATACTTTTTACCAAAAATATGAACAATGTCTCTGGTAATTTGGTTTTTTTTTTATTGTTGTTTCTTTAAAAAGAAAAAAAAGGCAAATTCTATTCTAGAAAGAGTTGACAAAAAATTAAAGCGGTTTTTTTGCGTAGTATTTGGCAGATGTTTCCCTAACATTCTCTTTTCCAATCAGATCGTCTACGCTATAATGAAAATACAATTTTCGTAATTGGATCGTTTTTTTCTTTCTCTCCAGCACAGCCACACTATCCGAGGTTGGTATGGACAGTTTGATGGCGGTTGAAATTAAACAAACTTTGGAACGTGAATTTGAAATCTTCTTGACACCACAAGATTTGAGATCGCTTACGTACGTTTTTATTAAATCATAATTAGCCAAAAAAAATTGTATTTTTTCTAAAACGTTATTCACATTTCAATGATTAATTTAGATTCTCGCGATTACAAGAATATGCCGATGCTCGTTTGGCCAAAGATGGACAAGAAAATGTGAAATTGAAGTTGGCCAGTGAAGATCGTGTCGTTGGTGTCCAATTGATGCTTCGTAATTTGGGCGATGAAAAAACATCAAAAGAAACGTTGCTTCGCCTCAATTCAAAGAATAACAGCGAAAAATTCAGTGCCAGTGTGTTGATAATACCCGGCATAGAAGGTGTATCGAGTATTGCATGGAAAAATATTGCGGCTGAATTGAATTTACCGTCATTTGTTTTGCAATTGACACAACAAGTCAATACCAATTCAATAGCAGACATTGCAACCGCACTGTACGATGATGTAAAATCGAAAGTGTTTAAAAAACAAGAGTTCTTCTATTTGGTTGGTTATTCATTTGGTTCGTTTATTACATTGGAACTAGCACGATTACTTGAAGAAAATGGTATGAAAGGACACATTCTTCTAATCGATGGTGCACCGAACTTCTTGAAGCAATTGGTAGATGCAACATTGGGACAAAATCAAACTATCAGTGATGTTGCAATTCAAATGATGTTAATAGCAGTTATATGTCAAACGGTATTCCCAAATGATAATCCCGATGAAATCTACATGACATTGGCCGAATTGAAAACATGGCCGGAGAAAATCAATCGTTTGATTGAATTTGGAATTAAGGCAAATGTTGAATATTCCGAACAATATTTGCGTGATATTCTCGATGCACTATTCAATCGCTTGAAATTGGTTGCCAACTACAAGCAAGGCAAGTGTAATAAAATCAAATCAAACATCACATTGGTACGACCTACTGAGGTAGCCGTTGTGGATATTGACGAAGATTATGAATTATCAAAACATACAGAGGGTGCGATCAATTTGAAATTCATTGAAGGCAATCACACAACAATGTTAGATAATGAAAAACTCCCAATAATAATCAACGATTCAGATCCAAATATGCAATCCGACCGAGACTTTAGCTCCTACATTTGGTCCGGCAAGAATACATAAGCTTATAGACAATCAATATCAACATCATATGAACTACTTCGATTACGACTACCACAAATACTGGATCTCGATTTTACACCTATATAGAAAAATAAAAACACCACAACTGACCGCATGATACTAGATGTTTGGAAAACGGTTAATTTGGATCCCATAACATTTCACAATACATGTATCTTTATTAGCTTTTAATAGAATGAAGGATTCTTTTTTTAGGATTGTTATTTATAAATAAAATTAGTTTTGAATTGAAGAAAAATAGCTGAGATTGTTTGCATTTTTCACTTTTCTGCATCTGATTTAAAAAAATATTCTCATCTACTCTCATGTTTGAGCAATATAACATAAATAATAAAAAAATAATCCTAAATCATGAGAGAAATGAATCAAAACCAAGTGACATCAGATCTGACTAAATTGGCTATCATTTTATACGTCCTGCTAAAGTACTTCAGTGTGCAATGTACTTTTAATATAAGTTCGAGATTGTGCCATATTTCGTGTTCGAATATCAAAAGCACTGAGAAAAACATGCAAATAAGAAAGAATATATGCGTGATGTATTGAACCGAAGAGAATATCTTTAAGCAATTCACACATAGCTGTCCACGAACGTTCGTTCGTAGAATATTTTTTTGGTCTTTTTGTTCGTTCGTTCGTTCGTAGAATTGTATTGCGTTCGTTCGTTCGTTCGTAGAAACTGAAATGTTCGGATTGTTCGTTCGTTGTTCGTACGAACAACGAACAACGTTCGTTCGTTCGTAATTTATGAAAATTTATTTTCTCAAAATAAACAAATATTGTGATACTAAATGTAAATTGGAAAAACCTTAAATCGATTTTTCCCGCTTTTCCGATGGGAAATTGTGAAAAATAAGCAAAATATTGACTCTCGTACGAAATTTTTTTTTCTCACTTTTTTTGTGCATTATACCCAGTCTCCCAGAGTTTCATATAAGGTTGCCATGTAACTGCAGAAAGTCTGTCGAAAATATTGAAATTTTTTTTTTTCGTTTTTTCGACCGTCTTTGTGCTGCTCTCGAAGACTCGGTATAGTGCACAAAAATATCGAAAACATTTTTTTCACTTTTTTCTTGCATTATACCCAGTCTGAGAGAGTTTCATATAAGCTTGCCATGTAGCAGCACAAAGACGGTCGAAAAGACGAAATTTTTTTTTTTTTTTTCAATATATCGACTGTCTTTCTGCTGTCACATGGCAACATTATATGAAACTCTCGGAACGGTTCGTTCGTTAGTGTTCTTGGACAGCTATGAATTCACATTTAATACATGATGTGTTTTTTTTTCACAATTCATCGTTATATATGTATATATCCCTAGGTATATCCACAAAAGTGATACATTGAAAGTATTGAATGCGATATTCGCATGGGATACACACATTTGCTGTGTGCTACGTTGCATATACTCACAAGCAGAATCTAAGATTACTTGGAAATTATTGCGTGTGCTCGATTGACAGTTGACTCGTTGACTTGTCGAGTTTATTATGTATTTTCACAATGTATCTCGATAAACATGTCCATATGTTTACTTTGTAGTCACCTCGTTATCCTAATCCAAGTAAATGCTTTGTGTCCATGTTTATGAGACTTTTTTTTCGTATTGAAAGCTTTGCTTGAATCATCTCGAAACATTCAACACAGCAAAATATATAATGTAAAATAATATGAATAAAAATCATTGGCAACAAACAGAATTTCGAACATTGATGGATAAAAAAGACGGAAAAACGTAATGAAGAGTGTGTGTATGGCGTGCGCAATGATATATAGAATTGACATGAACAACACGCAATTCGTCAAGTGAATACTTAAAAGAGACAACACTCTTGGCTTATCACTTCAGTCGTGCAACAGGCGTTCAAACGGAAACAACCCAAAACAATGACAATATAATGACTCCGTACAATCTTAACGATATGTAATATTCAGTCATTTTATTTCATTGTTTGTTCATCGAGTTGGTGTTTAAACAAAGGTATCATACCAATGGTCGCATAGACTTCAGACTTTAATTGCACCCAACGTCAGTGAATCATTTGATTTGATTGATTGGGGTTTTTTGTTGGGTTTTATTTTCTCACATAACGTACTTGAATTTCAATTAAACTCATATAGAATACCAGAAAATAAAAATAATCAAAGAAAAGTCAACCGTTCAATGGACTAAAACTGAATATAATATGTAGTTCGAGTTTTTTTCTAGTAGAACAAAAAATAAATAAATATTTTATGTCAAACATTTGGGCATTAACATGTAATTTTAGTGGGTGTGTACAATTGTACAAACGGAGTCGTTAAATATTTGGAGTTCAACGAATAGAACAGTCGGAAATGGTGTAAAATAAATTGGAGTTCATTCAAACTTATTTATTCCATATGTTTGGATTTGTGAAAAAATAATAAAATAAACAGTAAAGCTTCGAAATCGATAAACTGTTTAAACAAAGGAAATAATATAAAGAAGCAAAAAGTAACGCGATTGTAGCAAAAAGTAACAGCATCGTTCAATTATCGGCGTATCGGAAAATAAGGGAAACGAACCATTTGAGCTATGTAATCAATGAATGGTTTTTGTTGTGTGTGTGTGTATTTTTTTTTATTAAATAATGAATTTCCAAGGGCGAGACAATGATATGAAATTTACAGTCTGTCCCAGCGATAGACATTTAGCATTGAGAGCCAAGTAAGTACATTGTTAATAATATATAAATAAATTTCGAGCTCCCATCATTTTTACGCACTCAGTGTGTTGTTGCTGTTATGTGTATACGTTAGTTTTTTTCCGTTCATGTTCACCCTTTGATAAGATTCAATAATTTTTCCACTCATACCATAAAATAGTTCGATTTAATTATGCATTCCATAACGGCTGTTGAAATTAATTGCTCTATGCAAAGGAAATATGAAAAAAATGGAAAATATTTCCAAGAAAGCACAAAAAAGACTGAATAATTTCAACAGACTCCACAAACAACTTTATAATCTGTTTTTACCAAGATTCTCGGAAACACGTATTTTCGCGTTCAAGATATGATGTTTCCATAGCATCGAAATGATGACTTCAACTTCCTTGGCAGCATTTTCAAACACTTTCACCACCAACCAAAAACACGATTTCCATATCGTATTTTCTGTTGTCGTTTTTAAAACTGTTGCTCTATTTCTGGCATAAATTTATTTTGTTTTGAAAGTTCAAGAACAAGTACAATCAAGAACAAAAGCATTTTTAGTGTTTGCGTTGTCATGCAATGCCAAGTCCTATGTAGATGAAAACAATTGCCGAATATTTCTTGTTTGACCTTCTAATTTCATGCTGTTTGAACTCTTCCATCAAATTCAATACGCAAGACTTCATTCGGGATGGAGTACAGGAAAAACATCGGCAACATCACTTAATCCAGCTGAGCGTGATGCGATTATCGATGTTATACAGAGAAATGAATTACTCGAAACCGCCGAACGTGAACGGGTTGGCAAAATTATTGACCGCGTGGAAAAAATCAAACAACGTACCACGGACTTTGGACCACGAAATTGTTGTAGGTAAATAAAAACAAGTAGCATAAGTAGCAAACTTTAACACGCATTGAGGAGTGATGGAAACCACTATTAATTTATCAGACGCATTTTGTTAAGCCTGTTAAAAGGATTTTATCTGATTTCACTGAACATTTGTAAAACCCTCTTTTGTTTTATAGGCTGTGTGGTCAAGGTTTTGGTCTTTTAAGCCCATCAAAAATTATTTGTCAGAATTGCCGAAAGCCTGTGTGTTCAAAATGTTCTATTGAACTTCATGTTAAGCATGGCACCAGGTAGGTTCATTTAAATATACTTTGAGATTTTTTTTGATAAATAAACTGACAAGGTAAACATCACGTATATGCTGGTGATGAGAACCGCTATAGAATTGGGTTCATGTTCACTGAACGAATAATGACAATGTGGTCGTTTAAGTACATGAAAATAAAACGAACATTGAATATTTCTTCTCCCCATTTTCAGTTTAAACAACATTTGGTTATGTCAAATATGTTCTGAAATACGTGAAATGTGGAAAAAGACTGGCGCTTGGTTTTACAAAAGTCTCCCAAGCTATGATAAACTACAAAAACCAACGACTGCAAGATCAGTAAGCCTTACAAGTAATTCGCCACCAGAAAGGACACGAAATCGCCGAATCAAAGTGACCGACAGCAGTTCAGATGATGAGGAAAATGCGGAAGCATGCATAAGATCAAGTTCGGTTAGCGCAAAACGAAGTAGTTCTTATTTTCTGGAAAGAATGAATAGCTTACGTTCGAGACCATCAAATTCAACATCTAGCTTAAATGACGATGGATTTTTTTATCGTAAACTTTCATCGTTAAATCTCTTTGGTCGATCTCCATCAACTATGAACAATCGAACTGATGCAACCGATGCAAATGGACAATATTCCGATCACAGTTCGTTAACATTGAATGAAATGTCGGCGACAACATCAAATAGTCATCAAACCATTGTAAGACGTGATTCGAAGAATGAGCCAAGTACTTCTGTGTCTTCTGAAACTTCATCGGCAAATGACACCAGTTATGGTATAAGTAAGGGGCAAATCACTTAAAAATTACTTATTAATTATTATTGATTGTTTTACGATTATTTTCCGATTACTTATCGATTATTTTAAATTTTATTCTTTTCTTTTGTGATTCTCCCCTTAGGTATAGGTATGATGACAATGAATTCGATGTCAAGCTCAATCTGCCGAGAACAGCCGATGGGGTGGTTAGATATTTCTTTGGTTTACAGCGAACATGAACACACTCTAGACTGTTTTTTATTACGTGCCCGTGATTTACCGGCAATTGAAATAACAAAACCACCCGATCCATTTGCCCGATTAAATATCATCACTGAATTTAATAAACTTAAGCAAAAGAAATGGCTTCAAACACGAACCGTGCACAAAACTCGATGCCCGGAATTCAATGAAACAATCCGTTTTTTCGGTGTGGATCCTTCGGAGCTAACCCGTGGTCACCAATTGTATGTGGTGATTTTGGATGAAGATAAATATGGAAGTGATTTTTTGGGAATTGCAAAAATACCATTAGCATCAGTAAGTATCCAAAAAAAAACACGTCAATATATTTTTCATAATGAACAGGTTACTTTTTTATATGCCAAAGTATTTGTTTTATATCGATTGAAGTGAATTCTTTTTCACTGGAGACGAATTTAATCTTCTTCTCAGATTGCTGAAGCATCGAATTGTCGAATGTCACTGCCACTCTGTATTCAAGACCAATTTTGCCTAGAAGCAAGCCAAATTAATCATAATCGCGGATCGATTTTAATAGCTCTCTGTTATAATACGAAAAAGCGTGCACTTGCCGTTCAAATTAAGCGCTGTTCTCAACTATTGGCCATGGACAATAATGGGTTTTCGGATCCATTTGTGAAACTGTATGTGATTATTTGCAATTTAAATTGAAGTCTTTTTTGTATCAATCGATACATTTAATTACATTCATTTCTTTAGTCAATTGAAGCCAGACTCACATCGAAACAAAAAATACAAAACAAGTGTTAAATGGCGAAATTTGAATCCCGTTTTCAATGAGGTATGAACAAAAATTTAAAATTAAAGCATGAGCTGCTATAAATTTGAATATTAACAATTAAATTAGGAATTTTTCTTCGAGACTCGTCCCAACGAACTCGATAAGCAGTCATTAATAATTACCGTATGGGATAAAGATCTTGGAAAGAGTAATGACTTTTTGGGCTCACTTGTCATTGGTCATACTTCCAAAGGAAAACGATTAAAACAATGGAAAGATTGTATTCGCCTCCCGGATCTCTTCCACGATCAATGGCATTTCCTATCAAATGATTCGCATCCTTATTAATTAATCAATGATTCTTAATCTAGATTTAAGTTGAATACAATTTGCAGCACAGAATAAAAAAAATACAAATAAAAATTGATTAAAATCCCAACTTTATTCGTTGTATCCAATAACATTTGTTTTGCCACATTCAATCACACAATTTTTGTTCTGTTTTTCTTTGTGTTAATTTTGGCATAAGCAACGAAATTCTGTTTTTTTATTATTGCAGCGATGCATCACAAAAGATGCTTGTGTCAACTTTTGCTGGTTGCACAATGCAATGCACATAGTTTTCAGACATTCTAGTTTATAAATTATAATATATTTATTATGTGTTAGAAATACACAGCTAAATTTTTTTTAATTTTGAGTTTAATTCCAAGTTTTACATTATCATCGTCATGGATAGACCAGAAATGGGTGCATGAATATCAATATGAATTTTGTAAATTTTTGACAGCCAATAGACTAGAAAACTATAGTTTTCTTCATTCAAACAAAGAAGTTGAAAATATTTAACATTTTAAAATTCCAAAACAATAATCTCTTTGAATGTGGCTCGAAAGATGCATGTGATTACATGTATAAGAGTTTGGTTGAAAAAATACGAGTACAGGTAAAAAAAGTTATCCTCACAAAACAAAAAGAAAACTCATTCTATGCAGTTATTTTAACAATTATATCAAAATCAATAGATTTTCTTTTAACATCTAGAAAAGTGTTTACATTTTTATGAAACAAAAATTGCAAATAAACATTTTTTTATCGAGTAATAAATCACATCCCGAGGAAGATATGCTTCTGTGTAATATATAAATTCTTGTACCAGAAATTCCACTCACTCACTACTTCATTGAAATTTGATTATTATTATTGTGGATATCATATATATTTTTTTGGTTGGTTATATATTTTTCCGATGTTCATAAGATGAACTGATCAGATTAAAAATATCGCATATTAGTTGCTTTCTATGTTATTATTATTATGGTCGTCATTTAATGTACCAAATGGTTTTGGAAGCTTCCAGTCGTTTGAAATACTGTGATAGAGTAAATTGAATGACCCAATTATTCATTGGTGATTGCTTAGATGTTGGCAACGCTACGACTAGGACTAGAAGATAGAGCCATCTTAGACAGGGTCGATAACGTACCACGTTGAAAACTTGATTTGCTTTGTTCGGCAAAAAGTTTACGAAAACTGTAAACAAATGGAAAAAAATCGTTAGAGAACATTTTTTCTCTCTCAAAGATGTGAATGAAAGTGAAAACGGGCGACATACAACTTTCGAACTCCAGAACCTTCACTCGATCTTTTCCATGGGGCATCATCGGGTTCGTAGGGAAGTGGACCTTGCACAGGTGGATCATCTTCCTCGGCATCTCTAAAATGTAGGATGTATATGTTAAAACAATCGACTCATTTATTTTATTCGAAAGAAAAAGTGATTACGGTATTTTTTCTGGTGTTTTTTCTTCTGCAATGTTTTCCATTTTGGCATCATCATCATCATTCTTTGCATCTGGCTTCAATTGTTTCAATTCATTTTCCAACTCTTTGACTTTTGATTTAAGACTATCACGTTCCAATAGCAATGGTTTTAAATCATCGTTTGAAAGTAAAGAGCATCCAGCACTGCTTGCGACCTTCCTTAGGTCGAGTTTTTCGTTACCGCCAAAGCCGAGGCTCCTTCGAAGTACATTGATTTCACGTTTCTGATCTTGAATTTGTACCAATAAATCTGACCGTTCATCCAGTAATTTTTGAACTTGCGTTTGTAATAATTTCTGTCGTTTTCGGCTCTCACGTCCAGAACTTTTCAATCGCTCCAATTGAATGGAAAACTGGCCGAAAGTATTGAATTATTGATGAAAATTTGGAGATTTTTTTTCAAAATAATTCTATATCATTCTTGCACAGATGCAACTATTCTGTACAGGTACGATTTGTTAAATTATGCCATACTTACATTTTCAATTTCTGTATTTTTTTCTTCGATCTCTTGGTCTCGGCACATCAATTCATCCCTTTGTTTTTCCATTTGACCGCGTAACCTTTTTAACTTTTGAAAATCAGACTCATTCAACAAATTTGAAACATTTTGTCCACTTTTTGGCACTTGTTTTCCATCGTTTACACAATCAACATTCTTATATTCATTGTGTCTAAATCGACGATTCTCGTCTTGTAATTTATTCACCATATCCATCAGTTCTTTTGTTTCGCTGTGCCATTGTTCTTCAATTGTTTCCAGCTCCTGTGAATCAAATTGAAAATTTTGATTAAAACTATTTGTAAAGTGTGATGCTTTTCTAAGTTCTACAAATATATTGAAAGATTTCAATATTTTGAAAATATTTTCCATTATTCATTGGCAAAATCATTACGTCATCGGCATCAACAACACATATAACGGACTTTGAACCATGAATTCGGCAAAAAATACACTCATCTTTCGTAAACGTGTTTGTTTACAATTTTTATCCATTGTGATGCCCCCTTAGAATATATATGAGTACTTTATAGCATGTATACAATGATTTAAACAGTTTGACATCATGATGCGTATCATTCATTATATTCGAATATAACAATTACCGCCGGATATTGTTTGTGTTGCCAAAAGCTAAAGAAAACTATACAGTACGGGTATTATCTCTTAAATAAGACATAGCGACATAGCTATTTTCTTGTATGCTACATATCTCATTTTTACTCACTATCTGATTCAATTTCTTTCCTAAACATCAATAATAATAATCGATTTGGTCATAAAGTACATCCATGCGATAGCTTTGATGAGCAATAATCTATTATTTGATTGCCTTCGTTTGGAAATGGAGCCCGACATTCAAGTTTCAATAATACAATGTTTTTGTTCATGAAAATCGAAAAGACAGTCACGTTTGGCAGAGATATTTACACAAGCGGTTAGATTAAAGATTGTGTACACTGAAAATACGCATGAAGGTCATACGATGATGTTTTGTATCAAGGTACATGTTGCTTTCTAATTGTTTGTGACCAATATTGGAGCGCTGTGTTGAAATAATGACGCTTACTAATCATTGGACGAACCAGCAAAAAAAATCAAACATTTGCCCTTTGAATGTGTTTCGAAAAACAATCAATTATATGTTTATCATAAAAACCTACCCGCTGGAGTTTTTCACGGAAAACAGCTCTTTCGATTTTTTCACTTTCCAGCGATGCGACGCGATCAGAAAGCGCTTGCATGGTTGTGTTTTCATTTTCATTGCGGCTCGCTAAGGCTTCAAGCATCTCCAAAGCATTGACGACCTTTGGCATTAAGGCGGTAACTGCATCGGCTCCATAACAATCGATGATTTTTTCACATTCTTTACCAATTTCCGACGCTAAATCGTAAACATCCACCACGGATAAATCGCTGGGAATGGAGTCAAACGCTTTTTCATCCATTTTTTTCGAATTCATTACTTTTTACACTTAAAACATCAAATACCATTGGCAATACCACCACTCGCTTGTGTACACAGAAAACGATTTTAAATGTTAAAATTGTCTTTAGAAATCTATATGTTATCAATCAATTGATTCTTCTCACTTGAGCTTCATTAAAATACAGAAATTTCAACAAGAGACACTTTTTGAACTCTCTCACAAATATCACATACGCACACACACTCTCGAAAAACAAATAAACAAAATTTTATGGTTCAATTTTCAATGTAAAATATAACAATTATGCGCAAAAGGCAATGATAATGTGTGGGCGAATTTTTTTTTTTCTTATTTATATAAAGAAGATATTGTTTTCAAACAATATTGTCGATTTTGTTTTGTATGCTTTTTTTCCTTTGCCCATCAATATGGGGAATTTCTTTTATTTTTGGCACAGTATATACAATTTACATGATACATTCACTGATCCACTCACTCAACTGATTTTGTATAAACACTTGACAGTCCAGTGGACTATGTACGGTTTGATGTTATGGTAGAGAGAAAAAATTGCATTGGAGAAAGAGAGTGAACTGTGTAGGGGAATGCTATAGACGTCAAGAATGAAGATTAATTTGATTTCTCCGAAGTGGCGGCATGATGATGATGAACGATGCATTGGAGTGAATAGACATTCTCACATTATAATCCTCAAATGGGATTTCAAATTCAATAATAACTATATGACAAAAATGTTTTTATGAAAATCAAAAATATTTTACAATCAATTGTTGCAGCGATGTCAATCCACGCCATCTATCAATTACATGCAAAAACAATTCCAATCCAATAAAATGACAATAATATATATATAAATTGTCAGTGTCAAAATCGCACATGTTCACTGTGAAAACATACATTCACTCAATCAGTTTGTTATTGTTGAATTAATCTTCTGAATTGGTAAGTTATTCAAAATAGTTTGCATCATACATTCAAATCGCCCAATAACACATATTTACATTTGAATTTGTTTTAACAAAGAAAAATGCCACAAGGAAAGTTTAAGCTAAAGACCAAGGTACCGAATCAAAAGCAAAAGCAAAAGGGCAAAGCATTCACAAGGCGACCAAGTAAGTATTTAGTCATCCCATAACGAAATGGTGCTTAATATCATTTTTTTGTCTTTCAATTTGTTTAAATTGGTAATTTTAGATGCTCCGATTCAACCAAAGAAGCAGCAATTTACTGAACAACAGAAACTCAAGCAGATGGTATCAAAAAATGTGAATCGCGTTGTCGAAGATGAAATTCGGGGCCGTGCCAAAGAAGGGCACATTAATCTCAGTAAAGCACAACAGGCTGTGGCCAAACAACAAAAGGAAAAAACAAATACCATCGAGGCCACAACCAGCAAATAATTATTTAAAGTAAATAATTCAAAGAAATAAATTGTAATGTGAATCCCATTCACTCCAATTAAATATCAATAAGAAAATTATGGCAAAGACAATTCCAAATGTTGAAAAATGAATTTTTGTCTTTAATTTCTAGTCGCTTTAGTTTTGTATACAAAACATTTTTTTTTGTTTACTGGAAAGTCTCGTGGTATTTGACATTTGGCATTCAGCTGAATTCCAATACTTCCAAATAATAGAGTTACCAACACTCAATAGTGTTCAACATCCATAATATATTCCATTGGAAAACACTGCTGTCACTGACTTGTAAACAACATGTTTAGGTTACGTTTTACAAAGGATATTACTGAAAAAAATGAATACATTTTCATATCTTCAACCAAATTTAATGACCACCGAACAGTTACGGGATCATTTGAAAATCGTGAGTATATTTCGTGTAAAAAAACATGAAACATTAACTTAATTTCAATGATTTGATTACCATAGAGATTTCCAAATCAAAATGTATCTCTGCTACAACGGGGCGAATTGTTGAAGTTATTTTCGATGTATGCAGTGCCAAAGGCACGACGAGGCACATCAAATGGGGATATTGAAATGAAACCCGTTACCAATACAAATGTGGCGAGTCGAAATGAGTACAAACGACCAAGACATCAATTAATAACACCACCAACAGTGGAAACTGTTACAAATGCTTGCAAAAAAATTCGACTAATCAACAAAAACATCGAGGGCGTGAGCCCAAATAATAAACGACAGTGTAATCCATTGCCGATGGTAAATTTGTTTTACAATAAAATCATATTCATGATTTTGAATGCGAATTTAATTTTACAGGAAAGTGATCAAAGTCAAACATACACACCGCCAGAATCAAAACGAAAGAAAATAACATGGCCATGACTGGATGATATATTTCAAGCAAATTAATTTAAATAACATGAGAGTTTAAAAAAGACTATGAAAAAAGCAGATTAGTTTTAAATTGATTGTTGATTCATATATGTAGATGAATTTTTTTCATACAATGATTTTTAGATAGGATAGATGCGAAAGATCTCCGCAAGATCCAGATCCAAGCGCGCGTACGCTGCCGCATGATGCATACATATATAATACGCACGCAAATTCGTTATTCTTATTTCCCCTTCTTTGATTCGCATGCCATAGCATTACGGAGTAAGGAATGTATGTATCATGCGGCTACGTACGCACGCTTGGATCCGGATCTTGCGGAGATCTTACGGATCTATTCTATCCAAAAATCATTGTATGATTTTTTTTATGAATTTGTGGAATATTACGGTAATAATTAAGCATACTCACCTCTTGATTTTGCAGTAAATTGACTTGTCCAAGTTACTGATTTAAGATAATTTTTAATTTTTGTATTACAATTAAAATCATGAAACAAACAGAAAATATCTTCTTTTCAATTCTTTGTTCTATATATATATTTTCTAAAACACTATTCAGGTTTGCACAATATTTCAGCTTACAGCTAAATTAAATGTTTCAAATAAAATATAACTTAATACAATTGAATATTTTCAACACATATACATAATATCGTCCACATAACAGATGTGTATTGTATATGTAATCACAAAAAAGAAGAACACCGATTGCTACCATGAAACATGAAAGTTAACTTGGAATTACATGCACATTATGATGATTGCAATCGAAAGGAATGTATACGACAGTTGATTTGGAATGGATGCTTGTGAACAATGAAGTTCGTCTTTGTGGAAAACATTTGATGGTGGAGCCTCCTCGCTTAGTTTGCACGTTTGATTTTTCAATGCAAATTCGTTGCCACAAATTTCATGGCATGGCGGACAACGAATGGCACCTCTATGTAGCCAGCCGCCAGACTTAACGCGAACATTAATCTCTTGACCGGGATGAAAGCACTCGTAAGAATAATTTGTGACCTATAAAAAGAAAAGTAACACATAACTTTGGATCCAATAATTTGGATTTTGTTTCATGATTGTACCAAAATATGCAAGCGGCCATTCTGACATTTATACTGATAACATCTACAGATAATCAGAAGATAAAAATGGAATTAATGGAAATTAATCAACATTTTATGGAATGTAATGGAAAATGAAATTGAAATAATCTAATCACAGTGTAACTACACCTACACTATGTGTACTTTTTACTTTCAGTATGGCGCACACATTAAATTTCGTAACTTAATGGCTAAATGCGCTTACGCAAACAGATTGCTTAAAATTAAGATTTGGTAGTGGTAAATTGGATCTGTGAAATGAAAAATAAATCATAATATTAGTAGCAAATCGAATGTATGTATGTACAATTGTACATATGTCTTTTACTTATTGCATTACAACTTGAAATTAACTTTAGTTGAGATCCGCCAGTCTGCGAACGGTGAAAATCGGATTCAATTGCTGACCTCTCACTATGGCATGCAGAGCACTTTCAGATCTGGTCTCTTCTTCGTGTACCCATTCTGAATCTCTAATATCGTTTGCAACGAGATACTGGACCTGATGAAATGCGAAACGAAAACAATACAAATCAAAAATGAAACGAAATAAAATAAAGAGTCTTACGGGAGTAAGACGAACTTTTCCGCACGGTGGTAGTTGCGTATTTTATTAAGAAAGTTCAAAATAATCAAATTCGATTTTTCAAGCCTTTCAAGTGGCGTAAAGTTCGAGACCAAAAAATATGTTTCAACTTTGGCAACGAAATATTCTTTAATAGCAGAAGTACCCGAGAAAAGATTTTTCACACTTTCATGATGAACCCATTTGTACGACATTTGAAACTATTCTATTATTTTCTAACAAAACACTATAAAAAAATATGTTTGACGTTAATTTTGCCATAGAAATTATTTTTGAAACACTTTTCATAACTAAAGTCACAAAAAATTTGGATTTTTGTATGGGAGCCATGTCTGTATGCTACCTTAATGGCATGAAACTTTGTACAGGTTATTTTTTTCACAAAAAAATAACATTCGGAGGGTTTGGAGAAATTTCAACGAAAATTATGAGTACTTCCCATACAAAATATTCTTTTTTGAAAATTTTGTATGGGAGGTACCCCTAATTTTAATTGAAATCTCTTCAAACTTTTAGAATGTCATTTTTTTGTGTTAAAAATAGTCTGTGCAAAGTTTCACGTCATTAAGGTAGCATACAGGCATGGCTTCCATACAAACATTCAATTTTTTTGTGATTTTTTCAAGGAAACTGTATCAAAAATTGATTGTATCTCAAAAATAACGTCGGATTCGGTTTTCTCGTGCCAAAAAACCCCCCAATACATATTTTTGAGTGTTTAAGTCTACATTAAGTATGACTTTTGGACGAAACTTGGACTCTTTTTCATAGGTATCACTCCAGGCATGACATTTTTTTCCATCAACCAAAATCGCTCAAAATCTAATGATTTCTATTCCTCGGGACCCCCAATCATCACGTGAAGTCAGATTTTAAATAACTTTTCTGGGGGGTGAGATAATCGATGGACAAATTTTGCGTACGGCGGACAACGTACGACGTACGACGTGGAACAGACCCACAACAACCATGCTCAAAACGGCCTTATTCGGGTTCTCTGACCTCAGAAACGTCCAGAAAACATGTTTTTGAGGTTTCGTAAATTTTGACCTATTGCAATACTTTCCCCTTTCACACTAGGTGTGTGCGGAAAAGTAAAATGAGACAATTGAACAATTCAAATGCACTTACCTCGTTCAAATAAATACGCTTTGCCAAAACTTTGTATGTATTGTATTCCTCCTCATCCTCATCCTCATACTCCTCCTCTTCTTCACTACTGTATGAACTGGATATTTTTCTATTGCTAAGGAAATGTGAAAAAAACCACGGAATTATTCACAAATGTAAAAAATTGGCAATATAATATAAACCTTTTGACAAATTCACAACGCAATAAACATGTTTATGCGCGCACAGCTAAAGCACATTAAATAGAATACCGTTAGACCAGCTCACTGCGATCGTATACAAAGTGCACAACTTTTTGTTTCGTTTGCAAAGTGATGGAATTGGAAAATGTCACTTGTCTCGATGCGTTGTGAATTTTACAAACGCATACACAAAACACAACATACAATATTCAAATGTACTCACTCTGTGTGTGTGTGCTGCTGTTTTCGCTCAGATGCTGTCCGTTCGTCTAGATGCTGTCATTGTGATGTTATTCCGATGGAATGCTATTGTATTTCAAACGTGTTGATTAGTTGTGATGTTCTCTGTTCCACTGCTACTAACACTACCAAATCTCAATTTTTGTATTGCAATCTGTTTGCTATCGCGATTTTAGTTCATTTTCAAATTGTTCTTAATTTAACCTGTATGTGTGTGTGCGATCAAACCTTTACTACTTTCTTACTACATTCTATAAATAGCTAGTTGCTATTGTGATTATTTCAATTGCATATAATGGAACTAATGGAACAGAATGGAAAATGGATCAGGAATTGTAGAGTAATGGAATAGTAATTTTTAACCCAGAGCCCCAGTGTTGCCATTCACGAGTCTGTCGACAAGAACGCTCCTCCCACATATTATCCGTATGATCAAAACATTTTGAATGATTTCCGTACGATTCGAGTGCAAAATTTTTCTCTGGCTCTGTTCAAAATGAAATGAATGGCATTTTTAAGTATCTATTGACTATTGTGAGAATTTAACGTCTAATCTTACTTGGATTATTGTCTTCGAATTGGCATTGAGATCCGCGAACAATTACATTTTTACTTCGCCATGTGAACTCTTGTATAAATGGGCAAAAATCGGCCAAAGTTACACTCCCACCGTAATACTCTTCTTCACCCTGTTTGACATTGTTGATAAAATCGAAGTTTTGATACATTTTTGGTAATGGATATTCGTGGCGAATTAGATTACAAAGAGCCACCGAGTTTCGATCGTCTGTGCATTCCGTTTGCAGTGGGTCTCGTTTCACTTTCGAGCAAAATGGGTGGATTGATCGGCCCCTGAAATTATAAAGTTTATTTTTTTTAATAAGTCAACAATGTTGAACGTGACAATTCTTGAGTTTGGTTTACTCACTTTGCTGTTTGCGCATAAATCCAATCTTTGCAGCTTTTCATAACAAAAGTGCATCCAAGTCCCTTTCCCCAGCTTAATGGTGATGCCATTGAATAATTCGCTTTGTACCACCCTGAATCTTCCATCAAAGCCAATGTAATACGCGAGAAGACTGGACTTTGTGTATGTGTTCCCGTCATTGCTTCATTCTCAAGAATTCGTTTCTCCCAATGGGTCAGTGCAGTACCTTCACCACCTTGATCTTCGAGTTCTGCACCTTCAAGTTTATCGCAAGCAAAATGATCTCGCACTTCCTTAACCTATAATTTAAAAAAAGGAAAACATATTGTAGTATCAAAAAGTATATAACGAAAAAAATATAAATTAAATTATTTAGAATAAAAAAAAGTAAATTCCTTACCACATTTGGAGTGACCATCATATCAACTGTTCGATTGATACGACCACCTTTGACAGACCAATCATTTCGTGTCACTTTTTTAATTGTACTCTCACCCCATTTATGAATCTGTAATTTTTCGTCCAAGTATGGTTTTCCTGTAAAAAGAATACAAGAATAAAAAGAAGACTTCCTGTAAAAAGAATAAAAAGAACCTTACCAGTATCAGGCTTACGTACGGTTCTTGGTGTTCCCTTTTCATCTCTGAAGAATGCATATAACGAAACACTAAATCCTATTTAACAAAAACAAGAATATTTTACAAAAAATTCAAAAGAAATTGAAATTTTCGATTTAATGATACCTAAAGCGTGTAATATTTCATGTTTAACCGTTGACAGTAGTGTATCCAACTCTTGAGGCTTTGTACTGATTGAGTCTGGACATAAATTGGCATGCCCAGCGATCGGCCGATCTAAAACTGATTCTATTTTTTTTTTTTTTCAAAGCAAAGTAAATCCAAATTACAACTTAAATGAGCCCATTCAATTTGTTACTTTCTTCATGGATCATGGTTTGATTTTCACACTTTTTTTTTTCGTAAAAAAAATTACTTTGGAACAAAATGTCAAACCAACGAAAAGCAGAAGATTTGTCTAAAAATCAAAATGAATCCATTCGGCGAAAACAGTTACCTTGTTGGCAGTGAGCAGCATATGCTACGGTTAATCCTTTGTGACATCGTTCCGTTTGTCGTGCCGACACATAAAATATAAAATCAGCATTATGAATACCTTCGCCAGCTTCACCAGCGGCTGAATTCTCCTTACATTCATGTCCGGTTGCATTGCAGGTCCGGCAAACGTCCAAATGCTTTTATATAAAAAAAATATTTTTAATACATGTTTTTAATATGGTTCATTTCCGAATGCTTTTAATACCTTCTCCGGTACTTCAACTTCACCGCACATTGTCACACTTTTGCAAGAATCAATACAATGTGTCACCGTATTTTTCACGAATATTTGGCTACTTTCACATTTTCTGCAATATGCCATAATATTAAGTTACTGTTTTAATAGCACACGCACATTTTATTGCAACACAATCAAAATGTATTATATATGCTAATGCATGCGTGACTCAGACTTGCACAATTTTCATATCATACCTATTTAATCTAATGACTTCTTTCGTTTGACGAACCATTAGTGTTTGTTCCCAAAATTGAACCGCTTGTGGAAGAATTGTTTTCTATTGTTTATGAATTAGTGGAAAAATAAATCAAATTAGCCAATAAATATTGATTTGATTATTTTTATGTAACGACACTTACATTAATTAATGTGAACTTTTCAGCACTTAATCTATAGCAAAAAAAATATATATTGGAAATAAGTTTGAGTTGAATGAAAAATGATGATATGTATTTTGATTATATAAGCAATGAAATGATTTCGGTATGCCATTACCTATAAACGGATTCATCATAATAAAGTAAAATTCGAACAGCTGTGTCGATGCTGCGTTTGTGCACAATATGTGGTGGCTCATTGTGGACCTTTGCACCATAAATCACCTAGAGCAAAGTGGATTGATTAGGATTTATGAGTCAATATCATATGCATATCACGTGGATATTGTTTGTTCGAATTATAAATTTATGCATGAAATATTTAAATTAACTAATTTGCTAGCTTAATCATTGCAAAATGCAAAGTCGTTGAATTGATTCTCTCTTTCTCTCTCTCTCTCTCTCTCTCTCTCTCTCTCTCTCTCTCTCTCTCTGTGTGTGTGTGTCTTCTGCTGTGTCTTTCTCTTTCATCTTTATTTTCAATTTGCACCAATTTCATGTCATAATTTTCTCAATTTCTGGAATTGAAATTTTTTAGACATGTTTGGAAAAATAATATTGAATAACGGTAACTTCGATTCGGTTTCATTTTATCAAAAAAAAAAAAAAAAAAAAAAAAAATCTATAATAATAAGTATTTCCATTCAATTCAATTTCATGATGATTTGTAATGCACTCGTTGATTCGCTTTCACCATATCTCTTCTCATCTTTCAGCGAAAATTTTTGTTTCTATTTAATCGAAACAAAATCGAGTTACATTAACTGGAACATCAATCATACTAATACAAAGCAACGCTATGATTTTGCTTCATTCACCCAATTGATACGGTGTGAAGTTTTCTGCTTCATTCAATCGCTCAACACAAACTGATCGAATTGATCAAATAAATTAACAAATGGCACGTTGCACGAATGGCAATATAGAATACGGGGAATTAGCATCTGATAGAATCACGTGCTGTATATGTATCAATAGTCTTATTAATTAACCGTAACTCGTTCATAGCAAAAGTGTACCATAACGATTTTGTGTTTTTTTTTCAAGCACCTAAAACTGGTTTTAGGCCAACTAACACGTACAGTTACAGAAACGCTTGGACCGTAGTACGGTCACCGTACATATCTTTAAATAACAATTGAATTCGATAAAGGTTGTCATTGGGCGTTAAGCGACACACTGTTAACGCGTCTAATTGCAACAATTCGTTTGGTGTGGCTAAAACCACTATTTTGCTGTCTACTACATAAACAATTAACTCGAATGAATGACGAACAAGAAAATGTTGTGTGCATAAAACGAAGGTGTATGAAAAATTGCCGCTTTGTGAGCGCGACAAAATTATTACTCATTTGGAACGATGAACATGAGTAAGTTTTATTGCAGAAAGTAGCCAACCGAAGAAAAGTTGAAGGTGAATCAAAAACTAACGCAATTATGCACGTTTGGAGTGTATATGAAGGTCCTTGAATGACCTTAACAGCACTCTGCAGACTCTCTGGAAAGAGACAGAGAGAGAATAGAAAATAAAATCGCCAATTACGTAAAATTTCACACATACACATTCATTATTCTCTCGCATATCTTCTTAAAGACAAAAAAAACTCGATTTTTATTCCAAGCCACTGAATCGATGGTATGAATCTGACTCTCTCGTGAAATTAATCAAATAAAACATGTTTTTCTTGTGCACACATAAATATACACACATACCATACGTATACAAGATTGAGAGAGATACAAACGTTCGGAAGTGAGAACCATTACCAATTTGATTAATTGGCTATTTGAAATACACCGCAACACACATAGCTTTTACTTTAAAGCCCACATTGCGAAAGTATTTTACGCTTTCGCTCAGCTGCATGGCGATGTATCAATTTAATACTTGTCTTGGCCGACCGAAATTACCACCGCCGTTGATTTCAACATCACACACATATTGCATTCACTTTTTTTTGCTAACGAAAGATAGAGAGATATTATAGATTTGCCAAAAACCACTAACTCTCAAATAAACATACACGCACACACACACACACACACACACACACACAAGATTGCAACCGAATTGGCTCAATCTAATCCACTCTGGAGCATAAAATGAAGAAAGAGAAAGAGAGCAACGATCAACATTCCGCAGAAAATGTTTATTGTACCAGTTCGATATTGCTTACATCGTGTGCCTTTGGGTGTTTATGATTGCAAATATGATTGCTATGTTGATGATAATGATAATTTTGTTGATGCTGTTGTTCTTTGTCATATTCCGAATGTCCAACCACCAAACTCAAATCAATTAATAAGCAAATAACAATTAATTCAGTAAACCATTTCAAATTTAATCGATTAATTGATGGAATTTCTACTGAATTAATTGCCATTTTTAGTTTCATTATCGACTCTATCGCCAGATTAGTTAATTATAGCTAGCGCTAGGCGGATGTTGTTGTTTTCGTTGTATCAGTTCGTTTTTTATAGGCTTGATTAAGATGATACAATTAATTGTATTGTTGCACTGAATAACATGCATTTTTTCATCCGAAAATAATTTTGTTTTTAAAATAAACACGATTCAAACACCACTGTTACATTTTTTGTACGGATAGAATTGATTTTTTTCCACGACATTTATGCAAACATTTGAGGTCTTAATATTTGAAAATTGTATACAATAGTAGTTTGCTGTGTGAATTGTAAACGAACCGTATGCCTCAATGTATGTGCAATCTTTGACTGGCGAACTCAAACTGGTAAAAGATGTTGTAAACCAACTCGCTTTTCACTTCAATTCAAAGACAAATGCACACACACACACACACAATCACATAGAAACCAACTAGTTGTTATTATTGAATCAATACAATCACAATGATGCAAACAAAATTGAACGTCAGCGAACGTTAATTGAATGCAATGAATTAATTGACTTGAGTATTTGTTGGAATTTTATTTACAAAACATTGAACACCGTCTAGTTGTTATTAGAAATTGTGTTAATTGAGTTGTTAAATGAACACAGAAATCAAAACCTATTACATTCACAATTTCAATGCAAATGTTTGCGTAAATACAATGACGTTTCTTAGACATTGAGTGAAATTTGTTACATTTCCAATGGTTTCCAATTTCCAGTTTCCAGGCTCAACGGACAAATGTCAACATTCCAGTATTCAGCTGCTATTTGAAATGGGATATTATTTGAGCATTAAAAACGGTAGATTGAGAACTTCAGAAAAAATATATATGATTTTTTAAATTTTTATTCATTTCATATTTTTGATTACATTTATGGAAAATTTCTTTTTTTTTTGTACAATAGAAAATAAGTGTTTAATAAAAAAAAAATTTGATCGATATGCGATATATATGATTAGATTTTTGTATGTTTTAAAAGTCAGTTTTTGTAAAAACGGGAAAATATTGAATTTGTAAGGCCAAAAAAATCAAAACAAAAACGGGTCCGATAAATTGCGTGGTAGACTTGACATGGGTTTGACTCGAATGAGGCTGCTATTTGGTATGATGAATTTTGACTGAACGATGACCTCTTTCGCTAGGAAGATGGTTGTTGGGCAGGCTCCGTTCAGTCTTTCGTTTAGTTTGTTTAAAAATATGCGTGCATTATGTAGATCGATGATGTCTCTTGGATGTGTGACGCATGAGTTCGGAGTAAAGCTAACTATTAGGTGTCCCAGTTGCTTTGATCTCGCTAGAAATGGTATTGTCAGCGGCTTGAAAGTCGATCCAAATTGGCACAAACTGTATTTAATGTACAAGCGAACTGTTTGTAAACGCGGCAAATACATTACGATCTTCCATGCACGTTGTCTGTCATCTAGCGCCAATTTAAGCGAAAGTGATCGTAGATTTTCCATTGAGGTAAAAACTCGATCAACGAGAACATTGTCCGTGGAGAAAAGTCCATGAAATCCTTGCAAGCTTGGCAATGAGCTTACATTTTTGATGTGTTTCACATTTTCTTCACTATCAAATGGCATGGTATAGTGAAACACAATTTCGACACGCCTAAATCGTTTACTGTATTGGCATAACATTGACGAAATTCGTTCCAAGTCTTCGGGCATCTCACAATGCACTATGAAAACATCCAAATCGATGGCGGAATTCAATGTGATCGCGATAAAATTTAAACCCATACAGTTGATGTGCTTGATATTACGATTATTTTGGAAAAAGATCGGAATTCTTATATAATCGATAGAACTTTTGTCGCAAACCCAAAATGTGAGACTGTGGAGTGTTCGGTACACTGTTTCCAACCATGTTTTTCCGCATGCAAACTTAGGGGCCTTGTTCTTTATCCGCAAGTGTTGTAAATTTTTACAATACACGAGAAACTGCGTGTGGATGTCTGACACAAGTGTTCCATTGAATGAGATTGTTTCCTATAGGACAATATATTGAAAAAAAAGAAAAAGTGAATTAGTTTAAATTTTGGTCAAATATAGGAAAAATTCTTAATAATACCAAATTTTCCAAATTCATTTTGATGGCATCACCGTAGTCATGGTTTTTCGATGAACAATCAAGCCGATTGATACTGAGCTCCATCAAACTGACACTGGCTTCTGAATGGCTTTGCACATACTTGAACAATGGCATTGGATTTAAGTCGAATATATATGAGGAAACCGAAATGTGCTGAAAATATCGACTAAAGCTGATATCAGATCTTTCTTTGTATTTTATTAGGAGCTGATGATTGCTTATCATTTCAATCGCCATGGAATGATTCGGATGGTCACGTTGATATTGTAAGCCAGCATATCCTCGTAGAACTTTGCACGTTTGACCAACAGATATCAAATCTTCGGTTGGTAGCCATTGCAAAATTGATATCATGCATTTTTTATTCAGACCTGTGAAGTGTGTTGGTTTGCTCGGTTTTTTAAATGCCGATTTCTTTAATACTTTGAAACGTTTGGCCGGTGGTGCCATTTTTACTTTTTTTTGTTGCAACGTCGTATGGCATATAAATTGCGTCTCAGTTATCCTTACGATCACTAGTTCACAATTTCAAAATTCCATGCACACAGCTATCCTTTCAATCGACAAATAAATGACGTTTGACATTTCAACAAATGTTGAGCGCGTAATTTTCATTCGTATTGGTTAATGGAAAGCTAAGATCACAACCGAAGCGAAGAAAATCAAACCATCAAATCGAAATACTAAAGGAACCGAAAGAAAATGACGTCATCAAATATAACAAATAATGAATATGCAGTGTCGTGTGAAAAGAAACCAACGCACACATTTTCAAAACTCAATTCTCCACGGTGATGATGATGAGATGCTGTGTAAACAAGTGTGTAAAACACATAATTATATGAATGGTATTTCTCTGAACAGTCGAAAATAAAATAAACATTTTTTTCATGCTTTATTTAATGCGATTTTTTTCATTCCACACTCTTTCTCGTAGCAGTCAAAACAACTGAAGCATTGTATTTGCGTTGAGAAAGAGATTTCCTTAAAAACGAAATTATTGTAATTGGTTCAAACTCAAACCGAACAATTCCACTTGAAAATTCGGCTCAATTTTCTAAAGAAAGACACTCATGTTGATGACAGTTTGTCATTGACAAATTTTGTGAAACAACAATTATTGCGAAAGAATTTTTATTGTTTTTTATTTCTGAAAGAATTACATTCAACAATTGTATTCTTGAAACATGTTACAATTGTATTCTTGAAACTCATATTTTCTGAACGGTACTTGCAATAGCTTCTTTTGCGAGATCTTTTGCCGTGTCGAAAATCCTTTCAGCACCCTGAGTTATCTTGTATATGGCCTCCGAAATATTAACTTCAGTTTGAAAGTGACAATAGGAAAATAATGTCAAAGAAAAACATAAATTAGAACCTTGTGAAAAAAAGAATCTAAATAATTTTTTTACCTGGATTTGGAGCAGCAAGTGCAACAGCAGCAAACATACCAATGAGGAATATGACGAAAAAGTACTTCATGCTTTTCGAATATTGAAACGTTGATAGATATACAAACGATCTATATGCCAAAGAACTGAGTTCCAAGTGATTTATTCGATGAAAACCATTCCCTTTGCGGGTATAAACTTTACTCGTTCTCATTTTCTGCTTTATTAATTTCTCATTTTTTGTTTAATGGCTTCATTTAACATAAAATATCAATCATTTTAACGACTTAACTTTACCGAGCATGGTATTTGGTTCAATTTGTTTTATTTCCTAACGAAAAAGTTTTATTACTATATTTGAATTTGAGGAAGTTTATGCAAAACTGTCAATATAAAGTGTTGGTCCATTTGAGATTTTTTTTGGTGACCGGTCATATTTTCCCCGGTTACAATTTCCCCCATACAAATCTAATGGAGAATTTATGTCCGAAATATTGAAGAAAATAATTCCTTTTAAAATTTGGTCATATTTTCCCCAAGAAAAATAGTTTATTTTCGGGAAATTGCGGCCAAAAACCCAGGGAGACTATTTCCAATTCGATTTGGACGTAATTTCCCGGGGAAAATATTACCAAACTGATGGAGAATTTACATCCAAAACTAAATGGATACAATTTCTCCATACATTTTTTTCAAAAAATGGAAGAAATTGTGGCCAAAATTCGAAAAAAAATCTAAAGAAATAATTTAAAAATGTACTTAAATGTACCGCTTTTTTTAAAAACGCCATACTAGTTTGGATAATATTTGAAAAAGGTCACATTTCGGTAAATTTAAATTTTCCGGTATAGACCAAGAGCCACTCCAACAAGTAACTTTTTTTTTTTGCTTTATGTCAGAAAACTATATTGAACCATCGATTTTTCATCATAAAATAACACTAAATTATAAAAATCTGCACTTAAATACACATATTTATTGTTTTCTGCATAAATAAAATTACATTAGAGTGGTTCGATTTTGATATTTTTACGAGAATCAAAAATCGTACCCCCATAATCTCTGTAGGATGGTCATAGATACACGACTATGATAACTGTTTTGAAAAATAAATACCTTTCCTTTCTGTGTCAAACCCAGGACTATTGACTGTAAAAACAGTTAGCTAACTATAGTCACTTATAGTCAATAGTAATCTAATCACTTTCTTTCCACTTATATAAAAATCTCAAAACTTCATATTAAAATCCCCAAAAAATTGGATTTTTGTATGGGAACTATGTCTGTATGATGAAGTAAAAACGTGAAACTTTGCAAAGATTTTTTTTTACCAAAAAATAAGATCCTGAAAAGTTTGAAGTAATTTGGATCAAAGTGAAACACATTTCCCATATAAAATTTTCGTTTTTTTGTGATTTTTATATGAAAAGTGTATCAAAAATTGGTTGTATCTCAAAATAAATGTCAGATTCGGTTTTCTCGTGTCAAAAATGATTTTTTTTGTTTGTTATCAAAATCACTTCAAATTATTTTTCGAAAAATTTGAGAATTTTTCAGTGTATATCATAGTGAAGTACAATAAAACACGTAGCCTCAAGAAATCATAAAAAGCCATGTTTAATAGAAATACCTAGAAATATTTTGTCTTTTTTGTGGGGAATTTATGTCCGAAATATTGGAGAAAATAATTCCTTTTTAAATTTGGTCATATTTTCCCCAAGAAAAATATTTTATTTTCGGGAAATTATGGCCAAAAACCCGGGGAGACTATTTCCAATTCGGTTTGGACGTAATTTCCCGGGGAAAATATTACCAAACTGATGGAGAAATTATATCCAAAACTGAATGGCTATAATTTCCCCAGATATTTTTTTAAAAATTTGGGAAATTATGACCGAAATTTGGGGAAATTGTAACCGGGGAAGATATGTCCTGTAGCCATTTTTTTTAACTATCAAGAAAAATCGATATATTTTTTTCATGGATGAGTGAACTGATTCAGAAAACGCGCTCTAAATACGTTGAGCAATTATCGTAGATAAACGGATTTTCAGTTCAATGACAAAAAGCATAACCAATCTTTTTAAATAGATATACATAAAGGTTTAAAATAAATTTAAATGTTACTATTAGCATTTCGAAATCATCAAAGATCCTAGTTTTCTCTAAAATTTGATTTTAAAAACATTTTTACAAAGAAGACTTGTAATGTTCAATGATATGGAACTCATACCAATCGGAAAGGGAAGTGTGTTGATATGATTAAATGTAATTGTTTTATCAAATCATTTGTACATTGCAGTGTTTTTTGCTTTTACATTTTTTCAAACATCACCGTTGCTGACAATTTCTCCAAAAAATAATCTTGCTTGTGGTCGACTCAGCGATAAGATAAAATATCATGGTGAAAGAAGAAGAGGCAGAAACAAAATTAATTTATATGAGTGGCATATGCGACGAAACAAATATATTTCATTATATTATAATTAGTAAGTTTTATTTTTGTTTTACATCAAAAATTATTTTTCTTATTAACCGAGAGATATATTTGTAAAATTTCCAAACATTTGACTAATTTTTCCCTTTATTTGTCGAAATTTTCTACTTCCACTTTTTGCTAGAATTTCTTTGATAATATCAATAATAGCTTCTAGAGTTGCAATGACAGTGTCCCAATCTCCTTTCTCCGTTGCTTCAGTTAGAGTTTGCATGATGTTCAATAAAACATTCGAAATGTTGACACTATCTACAAATCCCAAAAAATCCTCATTAGTTAATCCTTAATAGATGTTGTATTGAATAAATGTTTCATAGGGATAGAATGTGTGTTACCTGAATTATCATCAGAGAGAACTTTGGTGCTCATAATCGCAATAAACCAAACAATGAACAACGGTGTGATCGATGATTGCATGTTGTAATGTTACCACTGTGTGTTAGAGTTTTACTAAAATTTTCAACAAATCTGAACATTATTGGTAGTCAACATTTGTGTCGAGATTTGACCATTTAATTACGGATCTAAATTGGTCATTTTTGGTCATTAAGAGATATAATCAAACTGGCGTGGTGTAACAGTACAATCATGAATAATATATTGTATGTTATGGTTGCCTGATTGGAATGCGGAAATATTTTACCAATAATTAGTTTGGATTCTTCTGATAATGTTACAAATACGTACAAATGTCATCGCTTCATGATGAATATCATAACGATTAGAAATTACTGACCAACTTTATATGAAAAAAGGGAAATGTATTGATGCAAAAAAAACTTGAGACAAAAGATATCAAATAAGACATTTCTTCAAAACAATTTTATTAGTTTGGAATAAATACTTCATTAATGGATTTCATTTTTCATTTGCAAGACATTGAATAAATATTCAACTGCTTGTCTTTTTAAAAGATCCCAATTTACTGAAGACTTTTTGACCCGTATAACCCAATAAAATTCCGGGTTTTTTAAAGACTTTCAATCGATTGAATGCACTTTTCTTCAAATCGATTGAATTCATAATCCAAGTGTTCATTAGCAAATCGGTGCAGTAGCTTCCAATTTTCTGAATTCTGTAATCATTTGGATTTTCTTTTGCCCTGTGAATATTAAAAATGTTGAATAAAAAAAAATGTTAAATGTGTGAGTTAATTGATAATATTGTGAACGTACAATTGATCGCGAAGGGTCTTCAATTTTGTGGCATATGTATTAAAGTCTGATTTGGCTCTGTAAAGTTATGAAATTAGATAGCTATAGCTCTATTATGGTTAGTTTCTATAGAAAATTACTTTTCAAATTCAATGTCGGTGAAGGTACTTGTTCTGGTTTGTTTGTTATATGCGTTTTCAAATGCGTTTACGTGTTTATTGGCCCCAGCGGCTATGCTTGTGAAAACAGTTTCTATACTTTTTTCTATATTTTGCGTTCTATTGAATCAAAAGCAATTGCAGTTATTACTATTTCAACCAGTATAAATACCCTCTGATCAAAAAGTTCTCGGAAATCGCGAATTAAAAATGAAAATGAAATTTCTTGTGCGGATACATTAAGAATGATACAGAAAGCCTTTGGGGATATTTCCATCAAGAAAACAACATCATCCGAATGGCGCGAAAAAAACGAGCCGAAACCCAAAAAACCACGTCAAAGTCGGTCGAAAGTGAAAGTGTTGCTGACGGTATTCTTTGATTATCGCGGTGTTGTCCATTACGAATTCTTGCCAGAAGGTCAAACCGTCAATAAAGAGTATTATCTGGCTGTTATGAAGCGTTTGCGCGAGAAAATTCGCTTGAAGAGACGAGAATTGTGGACCGAAAACTCATGGATTTTGCATCACGATAACGCGCCATCCCATACGGCTCTCGTTGTTTGTGAATTCTTGGCAAAAAATCAAACCAAAGTCATTGCTCAAGCACCGTATTCGCCAGATATGGCTCCGTGTGACTTTTTTCTTTTCTCCAGACTCAAATTGCCACTGAGGGGTAAGCATTTGGACACAATTGAAAACATCTAACAAAAATCGAAAAAGGCCCTTAGCGAGATTTCAGCGCCGGCCTATGGCAAGTGCATGGATGAATGGATCAAACGTTGGGAAGCATGTGTTAATTCTAATGGTAGTTATTTTGAAGGTGACAATAAAGATTTGCATTAAAAATGTATTCGAGTGTGTTTTTTTTTACAATTTCCGAGAACTTTTTGATCAGAGGGTACAACTTACGTGTTGAATTGCAACTTCTTTGAATTGCCCTTGAAAATTCTTCCTTTCAAGCTTGCAAAAAATGATGTTGAATTTTTGGTATCATCCTGAAAACATCTAAATAAAAACGTGAACTAGAAGTGTACACAACTTATTTTGAAAAAATATATATAGTTTTATGACCACAACTTACCGATTCATCCAAGCTGTTTGATTTAATATTTTTTGAGCTTCATTGACACGTGATTGATAAACAATCACATTAGATATAACAGCAATTTCGTTACTCTGCGATCTAGGCAGCGCTGCAATTTCATCAGCTCCAACGATAGAAATCTGCTTTAAAATTTAAAAACTAAATTTGTATATGAAAAATGGTTGTTTTATTGAAAAATGTCATTCAATCATCCAATCATGTAGGACTTTACTACAATCATTGAATATCACTACTTTTTAGCGACAACCAATAAATTGCGCTCGAGTTGAAATATTTTCATGACAGTCTACAAAAATCCTAACAAATTTACTAACCAAAACCACGATCAATACACTTGAAAATAAGAATATATTCATTTTGAAATTCTCAATCAATTTATATTCAACGTTTTAAAAACAGCACTTCTGTAGTTCAACGATGAATAAGGAGATCTCACAAAAAACGCTTGAAATATATATTGACGTTTATTAAAATTTTATTGTATAGAACAAAAATTTAATATAAAAACTCATTACTTCTTTTCATTTTAATTATTTCATTGAACAACTTTGCTACTCATTAAGTCAGAACTGAAATTAAATTTGAAATTAAAACAAATGTATTCTGTATTTGAAGAGATACTATGAATGAATTTTAGTTTACGGGTTTTACTGATATCGGTCATATGCCGATTTTTATATACCAATTAAATGATTTTTCATTAAGTACATGGTCGTATTTCTAATTGATAAAGACTGATAAAAAAACTAGTTTTATTATTATTAATCATAATAAGATATGCATTTTATTTTTACATATTTTTATACTTTTTCCTTTCTTAATAATGTTTTTTTTTGTGATTAAGATGTGGAGTACAATTTTTAGTTAAAGAATTTCCATTACAACAGTTTTGATTTGTTTAATTTATGTTGAAATTTCAACAAGTATTTTCTGTAGCTTTTGTTTGGTTTTTTGTTCAAATGCACGCGCATCATTTAAATTGACCTTATTCGATGACAATTTTTCTTTGAAATCATTCAATAAGGGCACTGATTCTAAAAGTAACTTCCGTATTTTCTCATTTGTGGTTGTTTTTATTATTTCGTTGATTTTCCTATCGGCAATTTGCAAAGTTTCAGCAACCTCCTTTAAGTCACCTTTGCTTATAGCTGAACTTAATTTTTCAAATAAACTCTTTAGCGCGGCTGCAATATTAGCTGTAAATAAATGAGTTACACTCCAAAAAAAAAAATGAGTTACACGTCTTTACCAGATTCATCGTTAGCAACTGCCATAGAGCTTAAGAATAAAACAAAGCCGATCACGAATAAAAAAACATTAGATGCTTTCATGTTGAACTTATTGATTGAAAAATTAACACTTTTAAAATTGATGTATTCCTTCCAACAGAACTTACACTGTTTGTCTTCGTTTCAGGATTTTTTTTCCTTTTATATCCAAATTTCAGACAATCTTTTTATTGTCAACACGATCAAGTTTTTTTTATTCTATTCATTATAGATTTGATTTCAAATGTCACATAGGCCATTAAGTCATCATTAAGTTATTTCTTGTCCAATGCACAAATATTAAGTTACCCGTTTTGATTAAATCTTTTAACGACCTTGATCATGAAGATTTGATCGACAAATGTTAAACGGTTTCAAATGTTCATTTGCTTGAATCAAAAAATATCAAAGGATCAATCTTGTCTTGTCTTGATGTTACAATGTACATATTTGTAATTTTCGAAAAATCTATAGTCGACAATATTAGAATTTCTTATCAATACTACAACTCTTCATCGTCTGATATCAGCAAGAATCTATGTCAACTCCTCACGAATTCTCATATGTTGTACTTCTTGACAAAAATCATACAACTGGGATTCAACAACCTTTAGAGCTTCTATTACCATTACTCTCCAAACTTGTACTCAAACTTACAAGCACTCTATGTAAAACTGATCCAGCTATTATTATTTTTGTAATGTTCATTAACTAATCAAAAAATTGGAAAGCAAAAGTTTAAAAAAATATATTTTCGAACCTACCTGTAGTATCATCACATAAAACAACGGTGGCATAAAAATATAGTGAAAACCAGACCGTGATTAATAATTTCATGTTGATTCTTTAGTCCACTTAACAATTTGAGGATTCGGTTTCTTTTCAAATAGTCTATAAAATTAAAATCGTAAATGATGAATTTGGCCGAGATAATCGCCATGCATTAACAAAATATCAGCTTGGGTTTTGATAACTACCAAAAAAATTATTTCGTTTTGATAGCGCGGAAATACGTATGGTATATCTACGAGAATATTCGTTTTCTGTGGTGTTTTGTGATAATTTTTGTTTAAAGATTTTAGCATAATTCACATGTGAATAGAAAGGCATAGTAAATGAAGAATCGAAAGTTCTTTTGAAAGCATGCAGCCTGTTAACCTTTGCACGACTACATGTTATCAAGTCCACTATTGAACTGCTATCTGTGTCAGTTTTTTTCATAATTTTATTTTTATATATGTTTTATTTTGGAAAAAAACCCAAACAATAATTTTATTTTTCAAATTGTGTTTAAAAAAAAAAAACAAACAAACAAATCAACATTTCATTGATTTGAGTTTTGTTGTGCAATATTTTTAATTTTATCGGCCACATTTTGTTTGAATGCGTCTTTGGCGTTATTTAAGAAAGAGCGTACATCATCCAAATTTCCTGTACCTGACGAAAGTTTTTGTATTAACTGGTTGATGTCAGCACGAAATTTGATGAGCTTCTCGTTATCATTTCCATTGTGAATCAAATCATTCAAACGAGACACAGACGCGTTCAAAACTTCGGTCACTTTGGTCATATCACCACTGGCCACACTTGTGCCCAATTTTTCAAGTAACCCATGCAAAACAACCGGAACAGTTTCACCACCTGCTTTTCATGTAAAATTGTATTCATTAATGAAAGTAAAAACCTCTCTATTGCGGTATCTCGTGGATCGAAGTGATTTGGAGGTTTTCATTTTTGGATGTAATTATTAAGATTGATTTTCCGTTAGTTGGAAAATTAAATATTTATTTACCTGACGCACTCGCAGGCGTATCGTCACAAAGAACGATTGCTGCAAAGCAGCTCAAAATAAACAAAGCAATGAAAAATGATTTCATTTTTAAACTCTTTTAAAGAATATAAATTTCAATTTAAGACAGTGAGAAAGTAGTAGATTGTTATTGATTAAATTTATACCCTTTTGACAACAAGATCGCAAATGATGGACTTTGCAGAGATGAGTTCGTTTATATACAAACAATCAAGTGACGTGGTTCTTTTTAATTACCGAAAGAAAATTGGTTTGTTTTGATCGCAAAGAAATTACAAGAGATTGCCGCATCATCATGTACTTGCAAATAATACAAGTCCAAGGTTACTTTTGGTTTCAACACGAAATTCGTTTTAAATTGGCTTCTGATCAAATCGCAACAACAACAACAAAAACAAAAAAATAATAATTCGGATCGGAGAACATATTTTTAAAAAATATATGAAAACTGAGCAAGTATGGAAAGTCAAAGCACAACATTTTATTATTTCACTATTATGTAAAGTAATTTTGAACTTAATACAAAATAATAATAGCAAAACTCAAAATAGAATTATATATTTTTTCTCTTAATAAATGCTCTCTCTTTCTCTTTGAAAAACTGATTAAACTTTTACAACAATTGTGTGACTTCAAACTATTTAAAATTGATTTAGTCAAATAATTTCTATTAAAGTTGTGCAGGGTAGAAACCACCTGAAAAAGAAAACACAGAACAAATATTAACAATATTTATGGGAGTATTGTTTTATAGAAAAAAGAACGATACTTGGCTGTTGCATACTTTCGGGCGATTTGAATGGATTTTTGAAATGGATTTTCATGTGCATTTTATCATTGGTTTGGCTAATAAATCAACCATTAAATGTGTAACCAATTTTATGGTCTAAAATGTTAACACGCGATATGAAAAACAAACTGACATAGAAGACAGAATGCATCCATTCAAGGGCGTTATAAACTTGGAATTGTGTTCTGATTCCGATGAGAACAAAAGAATTTTGAGTTTGATTGACATGAAAAAAATACATTCGAAATGAATTGCATTCTAAGTTTAACAATAAATTGTCGAAATGTCTAGCATAATGGAAATTGGAGTCAATTTTTTGTTTCTTTCCTTCATATTTATTTACAATATTTACATATTTAATTGGAATCGGAAATCAGTTGTAACCACGATAGCCTGTGCCTGTAATGTAATTCATTTCGCGTGATGGCAAAAATCCATACTGATCTGTACCACGATAGTATCCAAAGCCAAGATTCCGTTGTCCGTTATAATTGTTGTTGTTATAGCCACCATATTGTTGCAAACCACCATTACCTCCAGAGCAAACGATTTTATATTTAATAACCAGGCATATTTTTATTTTAAAAAGATTAACATACCACCGTATCCACCTAGAAAAGAATCACAAAAGAAAAACGGAAATAATGAACATTTATCAACATATTATGAACAGTTTTTGAAAAAATTATTGATATAAATGCATACCATAGCCACCAAAATTTCCAGCACTTCCACCATATGAACCCCCTAAAAAAGCGCCAGAATATGCACAATTTTCATCGAAAAATTATAAAAAATTTGAAAAGATCTAAAGATTTTTTTTTCAAGAGATATTTTTGCTCACCCAAAATGTTTGTTCCCAAACCTCCTCCAAGCCCATTGGAGCCAGGATAATAGCTACCAAAACCACCGCCTATTCCACCTTGAGGATTATAACCTGAATAATATCCACCTTGTCCTTGATAAAAACCATTTCCACCATAGATTGGCCGCTGATAGCTTGGATAACGATTGAATAAACTGCTCAAATCAAATACTACATCAAAGAGACCAATATGATGCACTAGATTAATCATTCTGATTTTGATTTCACAAATTTTATTTATTGATAGCATCAAATTCTAAATCAAATTTTCACTTATCCATTACATCTTTCGGTAGGTGTGTTCGACTGTTGCGGTCTTGCTGTGGCAATATTGGCTCCCACAATAATCAGAGCAACAGACATCTGAAAAGAATATAGATAATTTTTGCATGTTAGAAAATTTATGTCTTCTTGATTTCATACACAACAACAACAAATCAACTGAATAATTCATAAATTAACTACAATTGCTTATTTTAAAAAGAATTTATTTGCGCTGCTAATTTGCATAAAATTCGAATGAATGAAAAATTTGTAATGAAGATGAGTGTGTGTGTGAAATAGACACTGTATAAATTTAATAAAATTAAAGTCATGGTTCATTTTTAAAAATAGCTTTTTTGTTAAATATTTTTTTTGCTCTTTCGCTACAAATTCTAAGAAGTCTTCTTCCGCCAAAATACTGAATGACGCAATGAATCGAAATAATTTGAAAATTAGTATTTTTTTGTTTGTGTCCATCGTAAATTGATTCATTTAATTTTCGTATGAAGATAAAAAAAAACATAGCATTTTGAAGAATAACAGATGACTTCATCAGTTCTAACTGAATCTTGAACAATACGAAAGAAATAATTACATCCGCGAAGTATATATTGTGTCAAGACTAGCCAAATGCTAATTTTCACGCGTCTTGAACACCATTGCCACCATATAATGTCTAGAAATATTACATGAGAGCAATACGATGAAAGTGTTTTATCGATTTAGAGGTTGAACAATTCCCTTTCAAGTTCTGACTCAATGTTTTCAATTTTTTGTGAACAATTTTTTTTCGATCAATTCGATTTTTCACGGAAAATATTTTTTTTATTTTCGTATTCATCAATAATTGAAAAAATATCAAAGGGAAATCTTCCTTTCAAAGGAATAAAAAAATTCGAAAACGACAAAGTTTCACTTTCTATTCACAAAAAAAGTCAACAAATAATGATAAATGAATAATAATGATATTCTACTACTTACAATAATTTTATTCCAATTCATGTTTTGCTGATTTTGCTGACGCTGTGTGTCCGGAACGAATGAATAGCGTTGACTGAATGAAATCGCGAAAATCGTTTGTAATTTGCATTATTCTATTGAATGCGAGTGGGAAAAAAGCATATTGTATTACAGACGCAAAACAGATATATAGACAAACCGTGATTTCAATTTGTGATTTTATTTTGGTTTATATCTATGTTCAAATATGCAACAATACACACACAGAGAGAGATATTGAACGGAAGCTAATTTGAAGAAAAAAATGCGAATGAGCGCATCAAAATATTGTTTGAATCGTTTGAAATAATAGCACACACGAGACGTTGAACCGATTTTGACGGAAAATGGCAAAGCAAGGAAGAGGAATGAATATGCACAGAACAATTGTGTTTGACTGTTTGCGCCAAAACAATAGCGCCCATGTGCATTACCGTCCAAATCGTTGATTTTCACATGAAAGATATGGCAGTTTTTTTTATACTACTATGCTATCGAAGCACACGAAAGACCATTTAATATTCGATTGCATTGACTCTTCGTCGCACATCAAAAGATGCATTTTTCAGACGCTCAACTGATTACATCTAATTGAACGTAATTTTAAGTCGCGTGTATGTATAATATGTGAGACAATTGCAATGCGGTGGCAAATTACACACATTTTCCAGAAAAAAGTACATTGTTTGAATGCATTTAAGAAGATTAATTACAAACAAATTTTCACCACTAATTGCTTTATATTAACAAAAGATGACTTGAATTTTCATCAAACAAATTTTCATCGTACCGGCAAAAACAATAACACTACACACTTTCACACTACGTCGAATTGATCGTTTACAATCGTTTTTATGTTGAACTAGATGTTGAATGAAACTTTATGGTTAGCTCATTCATTTGCCGCACAATTTGAACTGTGATTTTGATCTATTATTCCAGCAGATATTTATAGTGAATCCAACCAATTCTTGTGTAAACATATGATTCAATGTATTACGCACTTAATATTTCTCATTATTTATATTTACGTTTTGTCCGAAAAGATAACAAAAGAATACAATTTTCTTAGACTTGTGTGTGCAATTAGTCTCAATGTGAAATTGAAGATAGTATGCAGCGTACATGAATCAGTGGGAATAATTTTTTTTGGCACGTTATCTTGTTCCAACATCGATAGTATTTGCATTTTAAATCGCGTTTGTTTGCCATCGCTATAAAACGCACCTTAAAAATGTGTCGCTGCACATTACTTTTTGTTTGGAAGTATTTTATGCGAAACATTTGTTTGTTATTTAACCAAACAATTGAATGACCATCAAATGATGAATATACAATACCTTATCATAAAGCAAATTAAGTTTTTTGTATGACACATTATTTTATAGTAAATAAGCAAGAATTTTTGGTTTTCCATCGTAGAATTGTGTAATTCGAAAATATTTTTTGTTGGTCTAGGTCGGCCAATTGTCAAAATGACATAAGAGCTCTATTACAACGACTTTCTATTGAAATACAACATACACACACACCCTCTTGCTATCTCTTATTCTAAATCACCGACAAAAATATGTACTCATTCTATTTTCTCTTTCAACAACCATCGCTCAATATACAGTTACAAAAAAAAGCATCAACACATTTCTTATCCTCTTATCGATGTCTGTGTGTAACTCTTACTTTTAACCGTTGTGCAACAGAGTGAATAAAAACAATGCCAATATAATGCATTGTGTCAATAACTGTCTATTGAAAATCCACCGAATAGATTATAGCATAGTTTATACTTGGTATTCGAATCAAACAGCTGAAAAATGAGTATGGCTGCACATCAAAATCCCGGCGCATCATTGCCTGCAATTGAAAAAACATCAGAAGAAGCAGACACATGCGTCTTAAATGTGGACATAAAAACCATACGAAGTCACGTCAAAGATCCGAAATTTACCAGCCCGTACACCTTATTGGAAATCTATGGTAAGCATCATTGGTTTTGGAAGTTTTTGATAACACTCATAATAAAAGAAGGAAAATATGACATATACAACATAATCTATTAAACTAGCGACCATTAATCGAATCAGCGGTTTTGGAAAAAGGAGCCATCTGAATTTACGGAGCATGGACAATATCTATGCAATCGAAGCGATCTTCTTTGGAAACATTCTACTATTTCAAGCTGGTAATTTTTCTATTTTTCACAATTGAATCATATCAAATAGATAAAACCATTGTCTTATGTTTGCAGGTAATATAGTTCGCGTTGTGGGTCAGTTGGTCGGTCATCAGAGTGGCCAACTAAAAATTCTCAAGATGTCAAAGATTGATTTCATCAAAGAGGCTGCATTGATCAGTCGTCTAACGGCCATCAGCACCCTTGAATTCACTAAAGTACCAAAATAAATCGAAATTGTTCTCTTACTAACATTAATAAAAAATCTGTTCGAAAATGAAAGGAGGATGGACGATATGGAGAGAGATCGAAAAATATTATAAATAAATCGAAACAACATCATTTTTTTATTTCTTACTAACTTGTGTTTTATCATCTTAAAATTTTCCATAAAATCATGTTTTTTTTTTGTCTACCCAAGCACTAAAATTGCACCGTTCGCCCGAGGTATTTTGTTTCATGTTTTCGTAAAACCCCCGAGGCGAACAGTGCAATTTGATTGCTTGATATATTTCTTTTATACTTTTTTTTATTGAAGAAGCTCAATTTATAAAAAAATGCCGATTCATTTCATTTATCCAGTCCATTCCCCTACATATATCACAAAAGTCTACGCTATTTGCTTAGCTCAAACGAATTTATCGAATTTATCAAGAAAGATGCTTTACAATGACATTTGTTTTTCTTTTATCGATTAACTGTTTATCACAAATTAAAAAGAATGAATCATTTTTACTTAAATCGCTTTTGTTCTCTGTTCTCATACTTTTCGTTAATATATTGCATTAGTATACTATATATTGTATTATATATAAATCTATAGTGAACAACTTCATATAGTACATGAAATTGATAACAAATCTAATTATGAGATATTCGAAATCAATTTGGCGCCGTAATAAAGGGTAGTTATGTCATGACACCGTATCGAAGCGAAGAGTCATCTTCATTTTGGCCATCGTTGAAGTGACGTTGTGGCAATACCTCTCGTATACTATCATATAAACGACGTATAAACGATTTGTATTCCAAATCGACTGATGATGTTTCACCAAAATTAAAATCAGCTACCTCGACCGAATACCTAAAGATCAAAACATGTACGATTATTATGTTATCATAATTAAAAGAAATATTTTCACACATACCGATTTCTGCGTGCTACATAATTTGCTACACCGAATATAATTGCAACGATAGCAATGAGAATGAAAATAACTGGAACAACAATAACTGACAGTTGGGATTGCTTTTGCACTTCATATGTGTTGATTGTTATAACTTTTGTATGATTTGTTATCTGATTTTTTACTTGTAATAAAATCGTAAATGATGTTTCGTCTATAAAAAAGAAACGTCGAATTTGAAACCAAGGTGTATTGCTTGTTATCCAGCTACCTTCATCATTGCCACACGTATCATTTGCGGATATATTGTATGGACCACATCTCAATTCATAACAATATTGATACGGTGGCGAACCACTCCATGATATGTTTAAATTCAATCCATCTTCACGCTTAATCCATAAATTACCTAGGGGAGAATCACGAAAGAAAATAGTAGAATTAATTTGAAATAATCGACAAATAATCGAAAAAGAATCAATAACAATCACAATAAATTACCCGTTGCAGTGGGCACTGTTAACGGATCTGAAAGTAAAAGAAAACGTCTATGAGTATCGAATAAAGAAATATTCGCTTTTAATTAAAACTTACTGCGAACAGCAACATTTCGTGTGAAATAACCGTAAATTTTCTTAGGATCGGGTGCAACATTCGATTTATTAAAACAAACATAAGGTTGATCAATCATGTACGGCAAACGGGTTATTGGTGAAAAAGTGGTGGACATTGGGTCTTCTGTTGCATTCGCCAAATCTTTCGGATCAATTTCACCATTCTGTATTAACATGCTAGCTGTTTCATTGGCATATTGCTCACTTTGTATATTGCGACGCCTTCTATTTGTTTTTGGTGTTGTGGTTGTTGTTGACGTTGTTGTTGTTGTGGACGGTGTGGTCGTTGACGTAGTACTGGTTGTTGTTGTCGTAGTTGTAGTGGTAGTTGTTGTGGTTGTCGTTGGCTGAGGCTGTGGTCGAGGTTCAAATGATGCGACCAACAAAGCTTCAAGATTATGTGTTGAATTTTCTTTTTTGAAAATATTTGTTGAATTCCATTGATCCGTTTGTCCGACATACTCACAATCCACGAACCAATAAACTGTAAAATACGTCGCATTTGCTATACTCATAAAATCACCATCACGGATTCGGATTAATTGATTTAATTGCGTTGCACTTGATATGTAATCGGTTTGCCGTTCAGTACCATTTTGCGCTAGCACCAATTGACCATTCAATACGTCTGAAAAAAAGGCAAACAAAATTATTTCCATAAATGAAAAAAAAAACTGGATTCGTCCACTTACTGGTTATTTCTACATTGATGTCATTTTCCGCCAATTCAAAATCATAAAACACAATTGGACGTTTAGCAATTGCACGGACTGTATAATTTTTGGCACCGCCATTCTTTTTTGGAAACACATACTTCCATTCGGAATGTGGCGTTTCTGTCTCAAATATCTGTGAAAGAAAAGAAAAACGATTAAAATATTGAATCAGAGTGTATTTTCGAAAAAGAGATTTGCAGGATACATACTTGCTTGTCATAGCCATCTACTTGCCATTCCTATAAATGTAACAAAAAAGAAAATGATTTATTCAATAAAATTACACAATTCAAAATATGAGAACAAAGCAAGAATGATAAATCAAATAATAATTAGTTGTTGAATTTCACGTGATCATGAAACGTAAAAATTCATTTTGTATCTCGAATCGAATGCATATCACTTCAATCGAATATTCATGCTAATATTTACGAAGATTGTTTTTAATAAAAAAAATTATTTAAATTTAATTTCAACCGTATAATTTGTTCGCGTCAAAATTACCCATTTGAGTCTTTCATTATTCGGTACTGATCCATCACTATTAAATAAATCTGCACTGAATGTGACGTCAACACCTTCTATAGCTGGGGCTGACGACTTCAAAATTAAATTGTAATCGTGGCAATATACACCTGTATAAATAAAGGAAGGGCATTTCTTTATCAGTATATATGAACCACAACGAATAATCTGTAACAAACATATGCTTGAAATATTCAAATCATGAAAAATGGCAATTGGTGTCAGGCATGGTGCCACATTTTTATACAATCAAATAAATAATTTACATAAAACTGCGCGCAAAAAGATTACTTTCATAAATAATTGTAAAAGTAAATATTTTATGTTTATATATTGATTTGTGTTGAGCCAGAGAAAAACGCCTTCCATCATTACTACAACAACTGAATAGTACTCACCAATTGCTAAAAGTGTAAACTGTATCACGGTCCGTATCGCATTTGTCGCGACCATAGTTCGCTCTTGATATCCAAATTATCACTGAGTAATTCTCCGAATGGCTAATATTTTACGTATGCATTCACTCACTGAATCATCTCACAATCAGAAAACTAGCTATTTAGTACTCAAAAACATTGATTTTTTTGATAAACAAAACGCCAGCGTTCAATTGACGAAATTTTCTCTTATTGTTCTCCCTTTTTCTGCGTTCTTTCTTTTTGCAAGTGCGTTAACACTAATGTCTGTGTAAATTTTGTTTGTTTTATCTTTAAATATGTATAATTGTTCTCGTTTTTCGACTTTTTAATGGCGATTTAACATTAGCCCCGACAAATCCCGTACTACGTATTGTTATTGACTGTAAAATGATCGCTGAATGACAGTTCTTAATGTTCAATGAACAGAAAAAAAGCAAGATAGAAAATGCGGAACAGAGACAACTATACATTTGAGGTTGTCACATTTGGCCTTCAAGTTTTGTGTTATAAAGACGATTGCATTTCATATACAATTGGAAGAATTAATTTTCAATTTTTTTTACAAACAAAATGAAAATTGATTCAATTTTTTTTTTAAAGAAACTAAAATACTCTTTAATTTTATAAAATTTGTGTTATACACACCAATCTCTTATAAACACACATACACGATTCGCTTCAACTTCATCGCAATGTTTACATGTGTTGAGCTGTCAAATCGACTGCCAAGTTGTACAAAATTGTCATGATACACACACGACGGCAAATTATTGCAAACGAGAATTTTAATCCAATTTGAATAGAAAGTTAATAATTGCATTTAAATTGTGGTGTTATCTCTATAAATTAAAACGATGAGTAATAAAGCGGGAAGCAACAAGGAAGCGAACATTCGCGCTTATTATAGTGAAGTGAATAAATTTAGCCAGAATGAAGAGTATGATAAAGCTATCAAATCACTAAATAAAAGTAAGTCAAGTTCATTACATGCTTTTGACGCATAAATTAATTTACATATTTGCATTGCAGTTTTGAATGTAGCTCCTGACGATGCAACTGCGGCTCATTGCAAGGTTGTTTGTTTAATACATACATCAAAATTTCAAGAAGCCGTACAATTCATTGACCGCTTCCAATTGACTGATTTGGTATTTGAAAAAGCGTACTCCGAATACCGTTTGAATGTTCCCGAAAAAGCATTGAAAACCATCGATTCGGCCAATTTGCCCAGCCCTCTACCGCCGAATATCAAAGAGTTACGTGCTCAAGTTCTCTATCGTTTGGAACGATTTGAAGAATGTTTTGATGTCTATCGGGATATCATCAAAAATACTGACGATGACTACGATAATGAGCGTACAACGAATTTAAGTGCAGTCGTGGCTAATTTGGCAATTGAAGGAACAGTAAGTAATCATTTGTATTGGAATATTTTTTGAAAAAGTACGATTTTTTCATGTTAAAAATTTGATGTACGTTCCAGCCAAAGGAGGTGCCAAATCTAAGTGACGACACTTTTGAATTATGTTATAATGATGCCTGTGCATTATTGGGAAAACTTCAATACTCGGAAGCCGAGAAGAAATTGCGTGTCAGCGAGAAACTGTGCCGTGAATCAGTCGATGAAGATGACGATATCGAAGATGAAATGGCCATAATTAAAGTTCAATTGGCTTATTGTTTGCAAATGCAAGGCAAAATCAAAGAAGCCACAGCCATCTATAGTGATGTCTTGAAGCATAAATCAAGTGATGTTGCCCTCACAGCCGTTGCTAGCAACAATATGGTGGCCATTAATAAAGAGCAAAATGTCTTTGATTCAAAGAAAAAAATTCGCGCCGCACAAGCTGATGCTTGTGAACATAAGTTAACAACACGACAAAAGAAGACAATCGCTTTAAATAATTGCCTATTGACTTTGTATACAAATCAAGATGATCAAGTGCATCAACTGGTCGCCAAATTAATTCAAACCTATCCAGACGTTGAATTCAAAGGTCTATTGATTCGCGTCACACAATTGGCAAAAAGTAAAAAATACGGCATACTTACTTAAAAATTACTATTCCATTACTCTACAATTCCTGAGTTTTTCCTTTCTTTTCTTCTGACCAACCCTAGGTAAAAAATACAAAGATGCCATTGAATTGTTGGAAAAATATGGTAAGGCAAATCCAAACGATGAATTAGCCACCAAATTTGCTATCGTTCAATTGTTATTGACGAGCGTAAGTATTTTTATTTGAAAAAATCATATTATTTTTTCGTTGCAATGAATAAATTTCCATAATTTCGTCTCTTACTTAGGGTAATCGTAAAGGTGCCATTGAACAATTGGAATCGTTGCCAAACAAGCAAAAGTACCAACCAGGTGTTGTGTCGGCAATGGTTTCACTTCATCTTGGTATGGATAATAAAACGGCCGCATCAAATGTGCTCAAAGAGTGTGTTGATTGGTATAAGAAATCAAATAAGTCAACATCGTCATCTGGTGATTTGACTGACATGTGGCGGCAAGCGGCCAATTTCCATCTGCGTGGTGGTGAAGCCGAAACAGCTGCCAGCAGTTTGGAAGAATTGCTTAAATCAAATCCAACCGATGAAAAGGTGTTGGCACAATTGGTAATTGCCTATGCAAAATACGATGCAAAGAAGGCACAAGAGGCAAGTAAACGACTACCAGCTTTGGACTCTCTAACAAACAATGTTGAAATTGATGCACTCGAAGCAACCAATTGGATGATGAGCACCAAAGCAGCTAAGAAAACTGGTACGGCAACAAGTCGTGGTGATCAATCGCCCAGCACACCTGGTTCTGAACCGCAGAAAATTAAAAAACGTACACACCACAAGCGTAAACCGAAATTACCTAAAAACTATAATCCGGACGTTAAACCCGATCCAGAACGTTGGCTACCGAAATATGAACGCAGCAACTATCGCCGCACAAAACGTGACCGTCGTAATAAGGACGTTATCAAAGGTTCTCAAGGCATGAGCACCGGCGCTGCTGATCAATAGTAAGTTTATTGGTCGAACAATTTCATTAAAATTTATAATGGTTACATACACACGTTGCCATGACATTAATGTCGCAAACGGTATTTGTTCACAAAATTTAAGCGGTCATTGACCATGCCACAGTATTTTTGGTTTATTTATTATTCAAGTCAATCAATATGAAAATGTCGTCTTTTATTTCTCAATTTTAGTGACATGAGCAAAACTGCGAATTTGTCAAAGAACTCACCGGCAACACCAGCTGCACCTGAACCATCATCGGCACCGGGTCCACGTCAACATCAACGCAAAAACCAACAGAAAAAGAAGAGAAACAACCGTTTTTAGATAACGAAATCTACGACAAGCCCATTATTTTCAACAATTTGTTTACTTTTTTTGATAAATAAAGATAAACCAAGAAAAAATTATAATCAATTAAAACGGCGTTTATATTTTTTTTTTCTTGTGTAGCAAAAAAGTCGTGTATATCAAATTTTATTGGTGAAATAGATTACATGGAAAATTTGTTCATGTTCAACAGTCGTGTCGTTGTTGAAGTGCAGAGATAACCTTACACCGATATAAGAAAAAAAAATGCTGTATATAACAAAGTTTAAGAAATTATGGTTAAGCAAGAATAAAGAAAATAACTGTCCACTCGTTGTTGTTGGCACAGATGACCTCATGTGATTTCATTGCAGTGTGAATGTTTAGTTGAGACCAACCTTTTCGATCAATTCTTGAGCTTTGTTCACATAATCTTGAAAAAAAAAAATTTAATGTGAATTTTGAATTTTGAGAGAGTATGAAATGACAACCAACCTTGTTTGGCCTTTTCTGAGTCAGTGCCCTTTTTGTGGTTCCATGCATCCCATTTGGCCTTTCCTTTGAAGTCAAGCAAACCTGGGCGAGTGGTATTGACGTCACCGACTGTTGCCTGCTTGTACAATGCATATAATTCAAGAAGGTCACCGTCAGCGGGCGTTTCCTTCAAATTTTTCACATCTTCGGCAGCTTTAGTAAAATCTTCTTCTAAACCCATCTGTAGTGTGTTATATTAATAAATTATTTATTTAGTGTACATATATAAATCTTCTTATATAAGGTTATGTGAAACTTGTTTCTTTTTTTATGCAAAACTTATTGATGCAAAGCAAAGTATAAATTTTCTTTACATGCAATTGATTTTGAACACGATTCATAAAATGCGATGTTGTTTTCGAAATGTAAGAGAGGAAAATTACTCACTTTTTTAAAATTGTCACGAAACAAATTACGTGTTTTCTAAACGAATGTACTCTTGTAAATGATTTGCGCTGTTTGTTGACGAACCCCAGCAAGTGATTCAATAATCGTACGATTCATCGTTGACCGAATACGCACACAAACGACAATCAATTTGTGTATGATAATGCTAGACGACTAGAGATTGCTACACGCACACACTTTCAATTATATTCGTGTAATGTTGTTGTTGTTCTTGTTGGTGCTGCCGTTCTACGCTGATTACGGTTTTTACTAGCAAATGCGATGCAATGCGATGAACGACAGCACCGGCTTCACGTGGACATACGGTGTTTCGAATCGATTTTTTTACAATTTATTTGGAATGTGAATGCCTCGAAAATGTACTAAACATGGAATTTAAATATCGATTAAAACAATGAAATTGAATCCATTTTTGGGCATAGCTTTTTTGTTGAAGAATAAATACGATGAATAAAAATTTTTGTTGGAGAAAAGTTTAAATTTTTTTTAAAGTACTGCAAAAAACTGGTTCGACGCCACTGCTCAAACAATATAAATTACATACACATGAATCTATCGTAAATAACATATGTCGATTAAGCGTAGTCATTAGCTAATATACGTTGTGTTTGTGTCTGTAGTTGATACATAGTGATAAGGTTGCCGCAAAAACAGTAAACTGTCAGTCGTTATAGTGACACACATGACTTTTGTGTAAGTTTTCATCTCATTTTCTCTGTCGTATTCTCCGCGATTTGTTGCATTCTCCGCTCTCTCACTCTCTTGTTCAACCAGTGTTATTGCGGGAAAAAAATTGCTCTGGTTATTTTTAAAAACGCGAACAGTCAGCAATGGACTGTTGATTCTAGAGCATTGGATTTTATTTTCATTTATTTTATTCATTAAATTCACGCTGTGCGTTCATTAAAAAGGGTGTTAGTTTATTATGCTGCGTGATAAAAGTTCATATAATAGTAAATAGCTTTGGTGCAAAGTTCATTTGAAAATTAACCCGTTCATCAGGCACAATGGGTATGTTATCTATTTGGTAAATTGAAAAGGCAACACACAATTTCATAATGAGTTTTCGGATGAATTTCGTTTTGCGTTCCCGATTTAACGCAAAAAAATTTAATAGAAAAGGCAAATAGAGTGACCGTGAATGAAAAAAAGATATACTAAAAAAAACCGACGACTGTGTGATTAAGCAATATGCGTCTGTGATTAAGCAATATTCCAAGAATATTGAGAGATTTTTTTCATGGATTCACAGCACATCACAAAAGTCATTCGAGCTCAAAAGAAAACAAGAAACAAAAATTGGCATTCATTTATGCATATACGATATACGGCTGTAGGTAGATCAAATGTTGTTCGTTGCCTATTGACGAGAAGCATGCTAATACATATAACTCACACATATAAACAAATTGGATATGTGTTTTGGATCGAAACGTAACAAGCATCGCAACAAGTTAAAACAGAATACAGCTGTGAATACCATTCACATTCATTCATTCGTCTTTTGCTCTTGAATTAGTCAGATTGTTTATGTTTTCAAGAGATTCATATACATCTGTTTCAATACGATAGATCTGTTTCAATCTCTTGTTGAAAACCAGAGGAAATTATCTTATTTTTTTGAGTTGCGGTGGAACGATTAATTCGAACATATTGAAGTTTTTTTAAAATAAAATTTAATGAAATTGTAAGTAATGAAAAGTTAATAACTTGAAAGAAGTAGTTTACAAGGAAATGAAAAATTATAATTTAGGCATTATGTGTGTTTCATGTGTTTCTTGATAAGACCCTTGACAAAGAAAGAAGATTAAAATAACTTTGTGAGAAAATTAAAATGTGATATTTCAACACATAACAAATAATTCATTAATGTAAAAACCGGAATCAATGCCATATAATATGTTGTAGTTGACTCACTTGATTTTTTATTATTATTTACACACACATATATTGGTTGTCTCTGTTTAAGAGGTGTTCCTTTGTATTTTAACGCATTCGCTTGAACTTGTATGAACCGGCATATAATTATATCTGACCATCAGTAATAATATTTATTGTAACGTTGTGAAAATGTTATGTAGTGGTTTGGTGTGTGTTTTTGTCTCGTATGAGAATTTTCGTGTGAGACTATTAGGTCAACTATGCGTATCTATCATCGTTTGTACTGAAATCGAAAGTAGTTAGACAGAGGTAGTCTTCGACTTATGACCAATTAGGTTTGTTTCATATGAATTCCGTAAGCAATAACAATGCTTATATTTTATAAATTGTTTGTCATTATCAACATTCAAAATTGCTGAGATGTCCGTCATATCGAAAAATATTCAACTCATTGTTAATAATACTTTTTTTGGCACATAGGTGTGAGATATATTCTCTTATGTATAGTTTTTTCTGTGAATATTCGTTCATTTCTCAGAGAATATATTTATAGATTGTATGACATTTGTTTGTGCAACTTATTAATACTAAAATAAATGTCGATTTATCTCTAGTTGTTTCATCGGAGGAAATTCCTTTAAATCCAACAAATTCAGAGACCAAAACTAGACCGAATCAATCCATTGAATCAAGTTCGTGTTATGACACATCTGTCGATGATGCTGAGCGGCGCCTATTGAATGTTAATCAACGTCCGGCAGTCGATTGCACGCGATTACGAACCATACCCCAGCAAGAGTCAGCATTTCACAGTGGTCAAAATGGGAAAACTTTGTCACCGTTAGATATGTCACAGCAGGATAAAGTGCATTCTGGTAGTAATTTACGTGATATTAATGCGATGTCCGTCGCCAGTATTTACGATCGAGAACACAACGAAATTATGGACGCTGACAAGTGAGTATTATACATTGCTTTCAAATCTTATGAGATTTACACATCTACAAACCACTGATATTGGCGGAAAACCGATATTAAGCTGAATTTTATTGAAAATGACAACTTACAGTGATATATACAATGATGTATCGTTCAGTAAACCACATGCTCGAGCTAGTCGCGAGCGAGACAGTGTCTATGAGTTGAATATTGTACCCGAAACATCAGAGTGAGTGAGAAAATGTGTGTGCCCAGAAAACTAAAACCAATTTTGCAAACTCACCAGCATAATGCTTGAAGTAATAATTTGATTTGACAGGCTATAACCATGAACTTCAATAACATATGAGTCTCGTACAACACAGAGTCTATAGTGTCTAACAAAGGCGATAACAATTGATATTGCATGTCTATTGATATGATTGAATGTTGCAATAACAATGCAAATGTTCAACTAATTGCATTTCAAATTTTACATTTTCAAAATTCATCACGTAAATGTAATGTTTGTTTTTTAATTTCAGAAGCATGGGAACTAAGAAATATCATAATGCAGATTGTGAAAGTTGTTACAGTGAACCGCCCGAACCAACCACATCTGTTCCAAATTCTCAATATGATTCGTTGTTTTTTGCGGACGGCGAACGATCAATTGACTTTGTTATTGTTTGGCAACCCGTCGAAGATCGACTACAAGAAGAACTGAATTGCATAAAACGTGCCATTTTTGAAGATAATCTAGTAAATGAAGGTTTGGAATTAGAACGCGATGAAATTGAGCATCTTCATTTTACCAAAATTCACACACCGATCGAGGTTTTGCGTAGATATTCGGAAATTTTGAAACTGCGAATGCCCATGAAAGAGGTATGTTATGGCTGTTATTTTGTTTTCTCACTCTTTTAAATAGTACACGACTTCAAATTCAACGCCACACTTTATTTCCAGTCATTGTGTTCAGTTCAAGAACAAAATCGATTTTCGAAAATATCGAACGCTGCACTTTATATCTCAAATAAGGTTAGAATGAAAAAATCCAATCTGGTGATCTTCTGTTTGATTTGTTTGGTCTTGTTTTTATTTGTATTGGTATTGGTATTTTGAGTTTTTGTTTGTGTTTCTTTTTTTGTGTTGTGAAAGTGACAAAAATCCAGTAATTTGAATGAAGGGATGACAACTGTATTTGGACTTTTTTTTTGTATTTTTGCCGATATAAATAGTAAAATGAAAGTTGCATACAAAGAATTCCCATGATAATTGTATATTCAGACTGTATAAAAAACGACACGTACAGCATTCTATTTGCTTGAATTTATTTTTTGATTGTTGTTATGTCGTTTTCTATGATAATGCAAACATAACAAAATATCTTGCTTGCACTAAATAAATATAAACGGAAAGTCTCCATTCAGAAAAATAGTTTTGGTTTGGTCTCCTCAAATTTGTGCCCATTTGTATGCTGTCCCCTTTCTTCTCAAATATTCTAAAAACATTCCTTATATGTATTATTCTTTGTTTTTCTACCACAATCGATTTGCACAGATACCTGGTTTCCGAAGTGTTCAAAATACAACAACATCAGCCTATGATAGATTCAGCGGATGCTGCAATAAATTGTGGAATTTAATGTCTGTAGACGAACAACACTTTCCACCGAAATCAACACGATTTACAGCCGTATATAGCCGTGACAAAGAATATTTGTAAGTAATTCTATTCCATTTTGCGTTTGATTTACGATGAATTGCTATAGCAATTAATCAAATTTTATTTCCATACAACCATTTCAGATTCGATGTTCATCATAAATGTTTTTTCACGCCAGCTATTCGATCTCGTATTGTTCAATTTATTTTGGATCGCAAGCGCTTCACAATGCAAATTGATGACGACTATGCCTTTGGGATTGATCGTCTCATCAACGAAGGAGTTTATATAGCCTCATATCCATTACATGACGTATGTAAAAAAAACATCACCAATATTGAAAACATATTGAGTTTTTTTCTTCTAATAGGGTGAAATATCAGTGCCAGGAAGTGTTCGACATTTATTGTATAAAGAATGGGCTAGCGTTTCAAAATGGTATCGATTTTTCGATTATTTTTCGATTATTTTAAATTCGATTATTTTCTTCTGTGATTCTCCCCTTAGGTATCGCTACCAACCATTGGACTATGTAAAGGATTATTTTGGTGTTAAAATTGGACTATACTTTGCATGGCTGGGCTACTATACATATATGTTGCTGTTGGCATCAATAGTTGGAATTGGTTGCTTTTTATATGCCATTTTTACGTTACCGTACGACATACCGAGGTACATATATCTATTATCAAATGTTTAATTACAAAATCATTCGATTAACTTGTATAGTAATTTTGAATTGTTTACATTTAATGTTCTAGCCAAGAGATTTGTTATGGAAATATGAAAAATACCACAATGTGCCCACTTTGCGATAGATTATGTAATTATTGGTCACTAGAAAAATCCTGCTTGCACATTAAAGTAACTTATTTGTTTGATAACAAGGCAACGGTATTTTTTGCCGTATTTATGTCATTCTGGGGTAAGTACTCTAAGCAATATGCCATAAATCAATGGAACTTATTTGAAAATTAATGAAAATTTCATGTATGTATATTCATTTTAGCTACGTTGTTTTTGGAATTGTGGAAGCGATATTCAGCCGAAATTACACATCGCTGGGATTTAACTGGTTTTGACATACATGAAGAGCACCCTCGACCACAGTATCTCGCTCGACTGGCTCACGTAAAAAAAGTACGCATTGATTATATTACAAATACCAAAGAACCGGATCCACCATTTTGGCGAATGAAATTGCCAGCGGCTGTGTTTAGTTTTTCGATCGTTATTTTATTGGTTGCCTTAGCGCTAGCTGCTGTCGTTGCTGTTGTCATATATCGAATGTCTTTTTTGGCAGCACTAAGCGTTAGCACAGATAATTTTACCACATCAAATGCAATTTATATCACAACGATAACGGCAGCCTTGATCAATTTGTCATTGATTTTCGCTTTCAGTTGGGTAGGTTGAATCGGCTCAAGAATTACCAGTTCACAAAAAGTGTAACCTATTTGTTTTTTTTTTTATATAAATAGCTGTACATTTGGCTTGCTGAATGGTTAACTGAATATGAAATATTACGTACACAAACGGAATTCGATGATTCGTTAACGCTTAAAATCTATTTGTTCCAGTTCGTAAATTACTATGCAAGTATTTTTTATATAGCATTCTTTAAAGGAAAATTTATCGGTCGTCCAGGAGACTACAATCGATTCCTAGGTTATCGTCAAGAAGAGGTATTAGCTTATAATATTTATTTATTTTCATTTTATTTGTTCCTATCGTATAGATTTTTATATGAATTTCTTTGTTTTATTAGTGTGGTTTTGGTGGTTGCATAACGGAGCTGTGTATTCAATTAGCAATTATCATGATAGGTAAACAAGCGATGAATACTGTGCTCGAAATGATACAGCCTCGCATTTTCAAATACTATAATTCGCTGAGAGTGCGTTTGTCAAAGCGTAAAAAAAGTACGAGTGCCGAAAAAGACGCACAAAGATGGTTGCGTGATCTAAAATTGGTTGAATGGGGACCACAAAGTCTCTTTAATGAGTAACTTTAACAAAGAGTAGTTTAGTAAGAGTTTTTATTGAGTAACAAATAATATTTTTCCTAGGTACCTAGAGATGGTGTTGCAATATGGATTTGTGACAATTTTCGTAGCAGCTTTTCCTTTGGCCCCCTTCTTTGCTTTACTCAATAATATTTTGGAGATGCGTTTCGATGCTCAAAAGCTATTAAAATTCCATAGACGACCTGTTACACAACGTGTACGTGACATTGGTGTTTGGTATCGTATTTTGGACAGTATTGGCAAACTTAGTGTCATCACAAACGGTTTCATCATCGCATTCACATCAGAGTTTATTCCACGATTTATATACCAACTCTTCAAGTCAGAAGATAGAACGTTAACTGGTTACGTTAATTATTCGCTGTCTGTTTTCGACACAAGAAATTTTACGGCAAAGGAAGTACCATCGAACCCAACGAATCCAACAAATGGGGAGTGCAGGTATGCCGACTTCCGTTATGGTCCGGGAGAGAATCACGAATATGATGTTACATATGCATACTGGGTTATTTTGGCAGCCCGACTTGGTTTTGTAGTACTTTTTGAGGTAAACTGAATTAAAATTTATCAAATTGAAAAATATGTCAACTGAAAAACTATTTTTCTTTGCAGAATTTCGTTGCAGTTGTAATGATATGGGTTCGTTGGGCTATTCCAGACATGTCCGCGGAGTTAAGAGATAAAATAAGACGTGAAGCGTACATTACAAATGAAATTATTATCAAACAAGAAGCTGAACGAGCCCGAAAACTATCAAATGGTAAGAAACTCTATTTAAAAAAAAAATGTTTTGTTTTTTTCGCAAACCTTACGTGACATTTTTTTAAGTTGTCATTGCAGAGCGCATGGGTGACGATATTGAACCGGATGCAGGAATCTTAAAAGCAGAGAAACTAATGTCCAGTAATTTATGTGGCTCGCAATTAGACTTATTTATGCATGGTGAGGGCGATCCATTCGCTCCGGGGCATGCCGTAATAAAGCAAAACGAAAACAGTGCACATGACAATGAAATGAATAAAATGTTTTTAGAGTCGGAGAAAATTGCATACAAACGCAGTTCAAAGAATGATCCAACTGATTCAATTGATAACGAATCCGGCGAAGCAATGACAGAAACATCTGCATTGTAGATTATTAAATGACATTATGCTCGATACACGACTGACTATTAGACATCATTTTCACTTTATTGATGTTGCATTAAGTTTATTTCATTCGCCTTCAAATTAGTTAAAAAACTAAAACATTAACGCATATAATTTCAATTGATTTTTTCAGAACAAAACGTGGTTATAAAATGCCAAAACTATTATTTCATTCGCTTTTTGTCATTAATCAAATGCTTTCAGGGATTTTGACCAAAGCAGTAAATTTACATTATTATGCTAGATAACGAACAAATATGTAACGTTTTTAGGACATTTTAACGTTAAAAAATGTAACGCTTTAACCCATTTTTGTGGCAATTTTCGTGTCAAATGGAAGGTAGAATATAGGCATAATGTGAACCACTTTTTCGGCTTTTTCGTGTTGCGATACACAACAACATCTTCTGTGTGTTTCGATTGTTTCTCTTTTTGTTATTATATTCTAAGAAACTGTAGCGGCAATACAATGTAAACAAATGTAAATAACATAAACTCGTTGAGTTCATAATATCGTATTCATACGATTGATTTTAAGCAAATAAAATTTGAAAAACAAACCGGAAAAAAAAGAGGATGAAAATACAAATC